GCTCATATGAGCATCCAACCTATGTTTGAAGCAATTCAGCGTATTCGAGTTAATGATGATATTTGGTAACTTGTTCCATTCATCCACTACTCTGTTTCCAAACCAGTATTTACCTATTTCATGCCTAAATCTAAATTTGTCTAATTTAAAACCATTGTTACGAGTTCGCTCCTGGTTGGATAGTTTGAGTACCTTTGTAATGTCCCCTTTGTTTAGCCCTGCCTTCCACTTATACACCTCTTATCAGGTCGCCCCTCGCTCTACGTCTCTCAAGGGAGTGCAAATTAAGATGCTTTAACCTGCCTCTATACTCAAGGTTCCTAATGCCCGGGATTAGTCTTGTCATTCTCCTCTGAATTCTTTCCAAGGATTCAAAATCCATTCTGTAATACGGTGACCAGAACTGAATTGCGTAATCCAGGTGTGGTCTCACAAGAGCAAGATACAGTTTTAGGATGACCTCGCTAGTCTTGTAACTAACACTCCTTTGTATGAACCCAAGTACTTTATTAGCCTTGTTACGAGCAAAAACACATTGTTTACTTGGCTTAAGGTTCCTACTTATCATTACTCCTAAATCTCTCTCGCAGTCGGATTTCTTTATGGCATCGTTGTTCATCTGGTATCTGGTTTCCCTGTTTACATCTCCTATACTGAGTACTTTACATTTGTCGACGTTGAATTTCATCTGCCATTTTTCAGACCATTCGAAAAATTTGTTTAGATCTTCCTGTAGTTTTGCCGAGTCCTCGTCAGATTTGATAACACGTCCTATTTTAGTGTCATCAGCAAATTTACTTATGTTGCTGTCAATGCCGATATCTATGTCGTTTATGTATATAATAAATAATAATGGTCCAAGTACTGAGCCTTGGGGAACTCCACTTGTGACGTTGCTCCAATGGGACTTAGTGCCGTTAATGCTCACTCGCTGTTTCCTGTCCTGTAACCACGCCCTAATCCATTTAAGGATGTCACCTTTGATGCCATGAGCTTCTACCTTTCTAATTAGTCTTTCGTGGGGGACTCTGTCGAAGGCTTTGCTAAAGTCGAGATATACCACATCATAATTGTGCCCCTCGTCCACCTATTCGAAAACTGATGAAAAGAATGTTAATAGATTAGTTAGGCAAGAACGTCCACTTGTGAAGCCATGCTGGGAATCATTGATCAATCAGTGCTTCTCCAGGTGATTTCGAATAGAGTTTGAAATGATTGCTTCCAGTAATTTGCCTACTATTGATGTTAGACTGATTGGGCGGTAGTTAGAAGATAGTGATCTATCCCCCTTCTTGAAAATCGGTATTACATTCGCTATCCTCCAGGATTCTGGTACTACATCTGTTTTTAATGACATGTTAAACAACTTTGCTAAGGGCATACTAAGCTCTTCCTTACATTCCTTTAATACTCTGGCAAATATCTCATCGGGCCCAGGTGACTTATTAGGCTTTAGTTTGTCTATTTGCTTACTAACATCGTTACTAGTCACTACTATCTCACTTAATTTGTTTTCTTCACTATCTCTGAATAGAGTCGGTGCCTCGGGTATCATGTTTAAATTTTCGGTGGTGAAAACTGTTGAAAAATATTTATTCAAATTATTGCTCATTTCTCCGTCGTTATCAGTGAGCTCGCCGAAGTCTGACCGTATTTAGTATCATCTGGAATAGTACACATAGCATGGTGGTAATAAGAACATATCAGAATGGTACCACGGTTATCACTTCGATATTTAATTATTTTATTTTATATATTTTTTTACATTTATATTATAAGTACAGTATATACATAATTTACAATGGAAATTGAAAAACATAAATATGATAAGGGAGGGAAGCAGTACAACGTGGGTTGTATTAAGGCGGAACAAGAGGACCGAGCTGTCAGGATTATGTCTAGTTGGCAAATATATTTTTCGAAATGTTAATTTCTTATCTATCTACTTGATAGATAGGAAGGGAGCGTAATATTTGCTCGGATGGGTGGGGGTAAGTTGTTCCACACCTTCACACCGTGATATTTTATGGAGGGCCGGGACTGGGAGGAGCGCATAGAGGGTGGCCTTGGTAGCTCTAGGTGCCTTAAGTTGTATCTCTGATTATTCCGGAACCGGAAATAATTGTTGTCAAGCAAGTGCTTAACAGATTTGTAAACAAATGGGGCACAGCAGTAGGTGCTAATATCCTCAAATTTTAAAATTTTCAATTTAGCAAATTGTTCGTTTGTGTTTTTTTTTTCCCAAGTAGGTCATTGTCGGCACAACTCTCTTTTGTGCAGTAACCAGGGATTGGGCTTTTGAAGAGTCAGAGGCCCCCCATAGTGTGTGACAGTGTATCAGGTGTTGGTAAACAAGATCATAATAGATGTCTTTCATTGCTGTGAGAGTGAGTGACTGTCGAGTGTGATACATGAACCTGTGTTGCTTAACAGCAAACAATGACATAGTCCTCAATGACAGTACCTGCCTCAACTTCTTCAGATTGGGCAACTTTTTTTCTCCAACCTATTCAGTATTTTTTAAAAACTAATTGAACTCTTTCTCTTACAATAATTGTAGGAGAATTATTCTCCATATCACCTTAAACTCATTCACCCACCTTCTTCCTTACCCAACCTTAAGACTGGCCAATCTATACCATAATTCCTCTTCTTCCCGATACAAATATACTGAACTATATATACAGTTACTCTTTTTCATCCAGATCTAGATGAACATCATCATACAGTTTTCTTTCTCCTCATTTTTTTCTGCTGATCCTGCTGGACAGCTTCAGCCCAGTGTTAGTTTGGCCTCCACCGCCTTCAGCAGTCTGTAACCAACACTTGTGTAGTTGATGAGACTATGTCCTCACACTACATTCAGCATCCAAGCCTCCAGCGACTTTTCGGCTTCAGGGCAAGGGAGGTTGTTTAAATTCTTTGTCTTCCTCCTGTTCAGATATGCCCCATGTGTGCCACTCCGTGGATTCTCCCTGAAGTTCAAGTTTGTCCATATTTTAACGAAAGGAAGTACTTAACCCCCCGTGTGGTTCATTCTCTTTTCTTAGAGAATGTCTCCTCTCAGAGGGACTATCCCTGTTTACACTGAAGGCTGTAAGTCGGATGCAGGGAGTGTGTTTTACGGCAGAGCTGTTGGGTGTTTTACTTGCCCTCAAGTTTATTCTCTTCCAAGCTCATAGCGATTTAATTTTTTTTAGCGATTTTCGTAGTGTTCTCCAGGCCTTAGATAGTGTCTCATCGCCACATCCCTAGTTATAGATATTGTACAGTGGCAGTTTCTCAGCCAACGTCGGGGCCAGAAAGTCAGTTTTTAGTGGGTTGCGGCCCATGTGGGGGAGAAGGGGAATGAGCATGCTGATGCTGTGGCAAAAGCAGCTGCTTCTCTTCCTGTAGCACATCATTCCCCCTATACCTGCTTCTGATATGAAGCTAGTAATAAGAGCTGTCATCCACTCAAGTTGGTAATGCAGGTGGGATGTAGTTGGAGCAAACAAGCTCTGTGACATCCAGCCTGCACTGGGTGCCTGGGTACATCAAGGACTATCATGCCGCCAAGAGACTGCTTTGGCCCGCCTTCGTATTGGCCACATACGGCTGACTTCTGATTTTTTAATGGGGAGGGCGCCCCCTCCCCATTGTTGCTTCACGCTCTCTCTTTTACAGGTATTTTAACGGGCAATGTTCGGTGGATTTGGCATCCTGTGTACCACCGACAAGGCCATGGGCTCGTAACACACGTCTTTCCCGCCAGCGCCCACCGTTTCTCTGTGGATGTCGGTCACACGAGAGTAACACGTTATAGTACCTCCTTCTTTCCTCACACAGCCAACTGTGGAATGCTCTGCCTTCTTCTGTGTTTCTATACTTATACAATCTGTCTCATTTCAAAAAGCTGGTTTTCCGGCATCTTCGTGGTGTAGATTAACACAGTACAGTATAACCTTTTTCTTCTCTATTTTCAATTTGTTCTGTTTTTTTTCGCCCCCCAGGCCCCGTTGTGGGTCGTTTGACCTGTGCCCGGGTTGGCTAATTCCGGTAAAAACTGCCTGGTCCCATTGACTGTTCGACACCTCCTGGTGGAGTGTCCCAGTCTCAGAGATCTTCTTAGAAAGCGCCTCTCCCAATGCCCGGTGGGGTCCATACTAATAATAATAATAATTAACGGTTTATTGAAAGAGCTTGGCAGCCAGAAGGCTGAAAATATACAGTTACATATTTGGGGAATGGGTTTCGAATTACAAATAATATACAAGTAACATAAGTGATACAAATAAGATATATAATAACTAGATGGGGAAAAGCTCAAACTACAGTGCATTTCGACATAGTGACAGTGCAAGAAGTAGTATTTACTGGGAGTGAATACACTGGTTTATTACAAGTTATTGATAATTTTTACAATGGTTGGAACTGGGCTGTTCTTATAGCGATCAGTTCGTGCACGTATGGGCTGGATGCGTTGTGGTGTCGAAGAGCAATTCTCGGGCTGGGGATCTCAGGTGGTAGTAGGAGCCGGTGTCGAGGATGGTGTAGAAGCTTCTTACCAAATTTGCAGATGAGGTCGTGGTGATGGTCAGTGAGAGTCGAAAGGGTCAGTGTGTTGAGCTCTTCTTGATATGTGGAGTAGGAAGGGGAGAGAATAATCTTGCATGCCCTCTTTTGCACTTTTTCTAGGTGTTTACGTTGTGTGGCATTTAGGGAGGAAGACCAGGTAGGAGAGGCACAGGTGAGCTCTGGTGCAGGCGGGGAGTGGGTAGTGTGGAAGGGGACGTCCTCTTCTTCGTTGAGGAAGCCGGCTCTCTACACAAGGTTTGAGTTTTATCTCTTAACGTGAATTTTTTTTTTTTTTATGAAAGTTCTGTTATTTGTTACTTGTGTTTTTTACCTTTGCAATACAGTATTTGATTTTAGTCTGTTACGCCTTTAATTTAATGCGGCGACATATGTCCTAAGCTGTTATGTCGCCAGGGATGTAATTACCACAATACCACAATCAATCAATCAATCTCACAGATGAAGCCCAAGTTCAAGCCACAATCGGCGTCGTCCAAGCCCAAACCTGAGACGGTGAGGCAGTTGCTTTCTCCGGTGTTTCCTGAGGGTTGGCCCTTCAGCCAGCCGTGATCCACCTCGACCTCTGTCAGCCAGTACCAGGGGGCACCGTTCTGCAGTTCGGATTCGTAACTCGTATCACTGCGAAGTGGATCTGGGGTTGCCTCCACCTCGTGTTCCCTCCCGCCCACCCACAGTCTGTCTGCACGCTCACCTGTTCACCAAGGTGGGTGTTAGTGCTGGTGGATGGCAGTTGTGTTAGTGGTGGGTGTAGATGTTAGTGATTAAAGCAGGAAAGCAAAGATTTTTGACCGGGTGAATCATTTCATATAAACATAAGAGATCCAGAAGTACTGTACTGCTTAAAAAAAACACCCACATGAACTCGAACTTAAATCAGGACCATGTGACTCACTAAGGTAACTCACCAAAACTGTTCAAGTGACTCACCAACATGATTCCTAACGGCGAGGATGAAGGTGAGAACATTGCTGGGTACGGCCAAGTCCCCGCCGATATTCCTGCAGAGCTTCCTGCCTTGATCCCAGTACAGCGTTTCTCCTGGCTTGCTGATGTAGAAGCATTCTTCCTCTACTTCGATAAAATATTCAGGACACCGTGATGCTGAAGTGAGCAGTGAGGTGCATGAGTTGGTGGTTAGATAGCTCAATTTTTTTATATATTTAAAGATCAGTTTACTGGTTCAAAATTGGTATTGCACTAATTCTTGGGCCCATAAACGTTTGAAACATCTTCTTTACACACACATACTTAATACTACTACTACTACTTTTTTTTTATAACATGACCTCCAGTCTCCCCCAATCCACACCTTCGCCGCCATTTTATTACCTTAAAGTTAAATATCCTAATACATAATTAGCTACCCGAGCTGTGTTGAGTTAGTTGAGCAGATCTATGCGGCATTCAGTGACTGTTGCCTCATAGTCATTATCTGGCTTTGGGGCAGATGCTTTCGTTCCCGTGAGACAGAGCAAAGCAGACCTAAGGAGAGAGAAGGACAGTCGACATCTTATCCAGGCTGTAACATAACTTCTGGGCTGCTGCTTCTGTTCGGATAGCACCTCCGCGAGTCTGGCGTAGAAGCATCTTGAACTTGATCCCATCCCACCAGAGGAGTGAAGCTGCCCTAATCAACGTTCTGAATTCTCTCCCCATATCCCCTTATCTTGTATTTCTCGTTCCTCCTGTGTGCAGGATCGAGAACTAAGTTACGGTGACATGCGGCCATGGGATAAAAAATCCTGATGTCGAAGAAGGCTCGCTGTCCCAGCATCCAGAATCCTCGAGCACTGACGTCAACACGGGCTTCGTTGGATGTGTTTGAAATCCTTTGTTGGAAATTCTCACCGTCCAATGGAAGGAGGGTCGGTTCTACCCTGACACCACGACAGATTTCCTTCAACATATTTGCTGTGAGATCCCTTACTTCGTCATGCATATGAAGCCCCCTTTCTTGCACACTATGGCGTGATCGACGTCAAAGGAAGAGCCACACACGCACTTGGGAGGGCAAACCTTCTACTGGCCTACCGCACCTTAGAGCATTGGCATCTGTAAATTCTTGTTTATTGAGACAAACTATTTGCCCTTATCAATAACGCAGTTAACCAGTTTGAGGCGCCCACCTCCTGAGCTATAGCTACTTTTTTTTTTTTTAATTCTCTGGTACTTGCAGCTCAGTTGCTGCAACTTATCACTTTGACCGTGCTGTTGTTCTGTCGTAATGGACCGTTGAATCTTGTTTACTTGGCTAGTATCACGCTATCTTTGGCTGGTACTGTAGATTTTCCTTTTTAACAGCATTTAACGACTCATCTTGAATAATATCTACACATGTTACATCACAAATATTTAGAGCTGATGATGAAACAGATTTTCTTTCATTTTGCCACTCATCTAATGCTTCTATTGTCCTGTTAGGCAGGGAGGCAACACTTGCGGCTTTAGCCCATTTGTCTACCAGTTTATTAGCTTCTTCCTGTGGATGAGGAAGATTAATAAAATTACTCTTTTTTCTTCTAATTTTGTTAATATATCTGAAATTTTTACTCTCCCCAATGTACTGTGCAAAGTCTTGCCAATATTTCTCTCTTGCCTGCCCACATACTTTGGCTATATCCATGAAGATTGCCCTATCTTCTTCTCTTCTACCATTATTTATCCACTCTTTATGTGCTGCCCTTAACATTTGTGTCCATCCCTTTAACATTTTGTCATTAGTATAGAAGTGTTTCCTAGCCCCATGTGTCTTATCATTTATCTTTGTCTGTGTTGACTTCGTTAAATATCTTTCTATCTCCCCAACTAAGTCATTATAAAAGCTATCCATACAGACTGGTGTATAATTTTTGTACCATTTCCCTATATTTTGGGTAAACACTTCTGTGTCATCATTGTTTAGTTTCAACCTCTTCCTCCTATATCTCACCTGTCTCTTCCCTAATGGTAATTGAACATACACAACAAAATGATCACTGACCAGCTCCCTCATTATCCCACATTCTCCCTGGACTCCCTGACTGCTGATAAGGAAAACTTAATTTAACCTTCCTCCTTTAATATGAGTCACTTCCTTATTTCCTAACAAGTATGCATCTACATGATATAAAAATTGCTAAAGTTGTACACATTTACTATTAACTCTCCATTGTTTCCAGTCTTGGATGTCGAGCATTAAAATCTCCTACAGCCAAAGTTGAGTCCAAAAACATGCAATCTGGTAGAGAGTTGAGGTCAAAACAGCCTCCAGAAATATAAACATTTGATATGTTCAATTCTCCTTCCTTCAAATATTTTATATAGACACTTTCTATTCCTTGTACTCTACTCGGGTTTCCAACTAGTTCCGCTGGTATGGCCTTCTTAATGTATATTGAAACCCCTCTTATTCCTTCACCCTAATAGAGATGAAATCCCTTAGATCCAGACAGCATCTGATAAATAAGGAATAGTGCTTACCTACAATGACTGAGACACTAGGTGATGGGTGTGTTGTCACTCAGTACTCAAAGTATCACTGCATAACATCAAAGCCCTGTATGACAATGTTTTACGCAGTACCAAGAGGGGTGGGGGTTATATCACTTCTTAAAGGTTCTTATTTATTGAACATCTTCTATTAAGATTGACAATTATACTTCAAAACAATAAACCTATTTTCCTAGCTAGTCAAACAGGGGTCACATAAATTACAATACATTTCGTGAAATGGATAAAACCTTAAGTGTACTCACTGAGATCTATCCTGCCATGTTGGGGACCCGACCACACTCACGTCTGTCCTTCACTAACTCTAACCAGACTCTGTCCTAAAGCAAAGACGACTTACAGGACACCACATGGTCATGATGTCAAGTCTCACAGGTTCTTCTAATTGGTTTAGGCTTAAGGCATTCACACTCACAGGTCATTGCGATTGGCTCACACTTGGTGGGAAATACTCACTAACTCATAACATTGTTACAGTAGTAGTAGTAGTATTGCAAAAATCATTACCATTGGTAATATTAACCATCACTCACCAGGTGCGTCGGGGGAGATTTTAGCGGTGGACGAATTTAGTTTCTCCATTATGCTGTAGAGGTCCGCCTGAAGCTGCATGACCCCTATGGCTGTGTTCTGTGCCAGCTCCAGTGCCTCTGTCACCAGGGAAATAAAGAGGTAAGAGTTGGCGTCAGTGTCGGTGTGAGCTGGTTAAGTGGGTTCCAGTCCTAATAACCCATAACAGAACCTAAACCATTAGGATTAAGACCCAGTCCTAATGGTTCATAATTGAAATGGTTAGGTTGATGGGTGGGAAGGAAACTCAGGAAAGAGCTAAGTTTCCTTATTTCTCTAACATTTTGGGCAACACAGAGCAGGGGCGGATCCAGGAATATCAAAGAAGTTGTGGGTGTGGCGAGCACAGTGAGTCCACCCATCTGGGTTTTTTTGGGGGGGGGGGGGCTGTAACCACCCCCCTCCCAAATGTTTTTTAAATTCTTACCAGTATCATGGGCATTTTGAGGCCATTTTGAAACTATGTGCACTTGATATTAGATATTCTGAGATCAATAGTAATTACAATTACTATACAAAAATGCCTGAGTACAAGACTACATTAAAGAAAAAGTATTGGAACTCCCCCTACCCCCTCGGATCCGACCTTGTCAAAACCTATCTTCAGACAGAAAACATCCAAAGCAATGTTGCATGACCCTTCAGTACTGTGTTCATCACTCTTAGGTCATTATACTTGACCGTAACCTCACTGAACTTCACGTTACACCGGTACCATGTTGAGACGCGTTTGTATCTTACCCACCACGAATTACTACCTAGAGCCTACCTCCTACTCACTCCACCAACTATCACTACGAACTTAACCACCACTGCTCACCACTTGGCGCGTCTACCGCCCTTCATTGAAATGTTAATGTTTATGTTTAATCGTAATAGTGACTCAGTTGAACCAATCCTTCAGGGCATGTTGTATTTATACATTTGTCTAGCTGGGATTAAACCTATCTGGGTAGTAGACACATATTTCAGTGGTGTTAATACGCGTATGCTGATATGTTCTTTAAATCATGCATTTGGTGCCCGTTTATATGCATGTATCCCTCCCTTGAGAATTTCATTGAATAATAACCATAGCAGATGGAGCATGAAGAGGCAACAATAATAGACTCATACAGAAGTTCCAGAGAATAATAGAACAAACATTTGAGTTCAGTAATGAAAGTTACCTTCAGACTGTTTGGTGGCGGTGTTGGAGAAGTTTTGGACGTAGTATGTAAGGTTGTTTAAGTCCTCATTGATGGCGGTCCTGGTCTCGTTCACCATCTGCACGACTTCCAGCCGCACTGTTGTCATCGAGTCTGCAGATGAAGTTCTCAGTACAATTGATGTTAGTAAATTATCTGTCGGCCACCATATCTATAACTAGACCAACTTGGGAAAAGAAAGTTTGTTTTTCGATTGTTCAAAGTTCTGAACTGGCTAGATAGAGGCGTATGGGGTAGGGAACTTGTCTCAAATTACCACCTTTCGGCAATTTTTATCCGTCTTTGATTATTTTCATCAGTTGTTTGGGTTTTTTTTGTAATTTTCACCCAAATTTAAGTATTGTCAACACGTTTTTTATTACAATTGTTTATCCTGTTTTGGCTTGGGTAATTCAGTTGATGTTTTACTGTACAGTATATCAAACGTGATGTCAGAATGTCCTTTACAATACTCGGCGGTTTCAGGCAGTACTATAGCATTCATAATCTGATCTTACACAATATTTTAAAGTTTATATCTGCATTTCAGTAATTCTCCATCTGATCTAATACAGTAGTATATTAAGGTTTCAGACTGTACTTGAGGATTCCTTGTCTAATCCTATTCAGTATTTTAAAGATTTCGGGCTGTACTTTAGCATTCGTAGCCTGATATTATATAGTACTCCAGGCCTCATCTGACTAGACAGTAAAATATACCACAGCATTCCCAGACTGTTGAAATACAATATTCCAAGACTTCAGCTGATCTTACATAATAGTCCAAACTTTTCAAGTGATCTTACTGAAGACTTCAACTGATCATAAACAATATTTCAAGGCTTCAGCAATACCTCAAGGACTTCAGGCAACTTTTTTCGTGGTAACTAGCGAAGACAAGCAGTTTAAGATCATCAAACGAAAATCGACCTTTAATTTTGTGACGCAAAGTTCTGTCTCACTTTTAAAACGTTTCGGTTACTTGGGAACTTTTTATTCCTCAACTACTCCAAAATTTTATGTCAAGACAAATCTTTCCGCCAAATGAAAGTTTTCTTGGCTTTCTTAAGAGGGTATGTCCTCTGGGCTATACATTTCCTGAACGTTAAAAATGATTTCCGTGCGGCTTACACTCTTTTTCACTTCCAAAGTTGTTTGCACATCGTTAGAAGTATATGTTTATTGTCGTCCTTAATTATTCATGGTTAAAATTATTATATTTATTGATGTATTCAGTTATTCATAGACAAGGTTTTGTACTCGTTAAAATTATTTATTCATCAGAATCACTTATATATCCTGAAAATTATTAAATCGTCGTTCGTGTTTATTTATGCATTTCCAGATTATTTATTAATAATCAAGTTATGACTTATCCCTAACTTCACACACCCAGCCTTGACCTCCCCTAACTTCACACACCCAGCCTTGACCTCCCCTAACTTCACACACCCATCCTTGACCTCCCCTAACTTCACACACCCATCCTTGACCTCCCCTAACTTCACACACCCAGCCTTGACCTCCCCTAACTTCACACACCCAGCCTTGACCTCCCCTAACTTAACTTCACACACCCAGCCTTGACTCCCCTAACTTCCACACCCAGCCTTGACCTCTAACTTCACACACCCAGCCTTGACTCCCCCACACAACCCTCACCACACCTACTTCTCCCCTTGCCTTCCACACACCTCCAGCGCCACACCCAGCCTTGACCTCCCCTTTACTTCAATTGCTAAGCGTTGACCTCTTCCTGGACTCCAAGGATTAATTAGGTCACTCTTGACTTCTCCCTGAACTCACATGTCCTTTGCCCTCACCTGCGAAAAGGTCATTCTGCTGGTTTAACATCTGGGTGACCACCTTTGTCGTTGCTTCCTTGACCCTGCGGGTTATAAACACACGTGTATACGATTGGTTCTCCAGTTAAAACAGTTTTAAGATCTTCTGGAACATATTAACTGATAATGATATTGTAAAACACTTGATGAATTGGAAAATGATATGGTAATTGACTTTATTTACGGGTATTTTTCATTATGATTATAATCGTTGTTATTGTTGTTATTTTTAGTGGGTTTCAGCAACTATGGGTTTTTGCCTGAACAACAAACAAGATCAATGGTTTTAAATTTATGAAGATCTGATGTTATTTTCTATGAGCAAACAATAATTAATTATTTTGACGTTGAAAATCTCCCGTCTATGAAAATCGAAACAAATATGTCATTAGTTTCGTACAAATTATAAGGGAAATATAATAGGTAATTTAATGGTGGCATTTTTGAGGAAAGATTTTGCACTTTCTAGCGTGCTGTAAGTTAGAAGAAGAGTTATGAGTAAAGGAAATAAGATTAGTGGACAGGTTAATACATGATCAATCTGCTACAAGATGTTGATAAGGGAATACTGTGTGAGTTATCTGGTAAGGGAATAGGTTGAACGTTTTAGAGAGAACAACTTTTGAAGATGTTGGAGAGAGAACACCTTGCAAGATGTTGATAAGAGGATACCTTGTAAGATGTTGGAGAGAGGATACCATGGAAGATGTTGGAGAGAGGATACCTTGTAAGATGTTGGAGAGAGGATACCTTGCAAGATGTTGATAAGAGGATACCATGCAAGATGCTGGAGAGAGGATACCTTGCAAGTTGTTGATAAGAGGATACCATGCAAAATGTTGGAGAGAGAACACCTTGCAAGATGTTGATAAGAGGATACCTTGTAAGATGTTGGAGAGAGGATACCTTGCAAGATGTTGATAAGAGGATACCATGCAAGATGCTGGAGAGAGGATACCTTGCAAGTTGTTGATAAGAGGATACCTTGCAAAATGTTGGAGAGAGAACACCTTGCAAGATGTTGATAAGAGGATACCTTGTAAGATGTTGGAGAGAGGATACCTTGCAAGATGTTGGAGAGAGGATACCTTGAAAGTTGTTGGTGCCAGAGGTGGTGAGGTTGAGTGTGAGGCCGCCCAGGTCATCACTCACTGCTTCCAGCGCTCCCATCTGCAGCGCCACCACCAAGTCTGTTGTTTGCAAGGAAAACTCTAAATTAAGCGGAATACCGACTAGTTTGTATTCGCTCTCGTTAGTCTTGCATGTCCGCCTTCAGTCGTTACAAATTAGCACTACAGTAATTATCATCCATGAAATCAACCAGCATTATTTTTTTTTCTCATTATTATAAGACTTCAAGGTGAGGCTTACTTTATCTTGACCGTTTGACCAATTTTAGCTTTTCTACATTATCGGTCTTCATTATTTACAGGTAAACTTCCTGATCAAATATGACCAATCCTTGGCCACGTTTTACACAACTTTATCCTGATACCATTATGATCATAACGAGGCTGTGTTTATCGTCAATGGATTTGTGTCTATCTTACTTGACCTCTATCTGACTTTACTTAATCTCTGCTTGACTTCACTTAACCTTTACTTGACTTCACCTAACTTCTACTTGACTTCACTTGTACTTAACTGTTACCTGACTTCACTTAACCTCTGCTTGACTTCACTTGACCTCTACCTGACTTCACTTGCTCCCCCGTGACCTCACCTATAACAAGGTCGAGCTGGCTCATCATCAGTGTCTCCTCGAGCCGTGAAAAAAATTGCAGGTATAAATTTATTAATTACGGTAACCAACTACAGTAACACTAGTACAGGGACACACAGATAAGTGCTGGTACAAAGTTGTAAACAATAACACTACACTCATGCGTGCTACTGAATCATTGTAGATTATTCTGTGATATTACGGAAACTAATAAAAGTACCGTATATGTAAAGTTGAATAAATACTTTTAATGTAACCGAACACAAATCAGGATAGTTATGCATTATTATATCAAATATTTATGCATAACAAAATTAAAGGTACAACAGCAACTACTCATGATGAATGTACTGTACGTTGTGCAGGGAATGAAAAAAAAACTCTTAACCTCTGTCCTATCCATGAACCTTGAGACTCGTGAACCTGTGAATCCGAGACATTTACACAGTGCGCCCAACAATGTGTGATGTCTCGGATTCACAAGTTCATGAGTTGAGCTCAGGGTTCATGGATGGGACGGAGGTTAAGAGTTTTTTTCATTCCCTGCACAACATTTGAGCGATGGGGAAACTATCGAAACCTGCTATCAGGCTGCCAACACCAAGAGGATAACCAAAAACACAGAATGGCAAATAGCATGAATTAAATAATTCCTCGGGAGGGACGCCCTCTGGCTTATATAACGAGGTAAGTTTTTCCTCAGCATCATATCAATAAAATCAGGAGCACCTCGAGCACATGTGTTCTAAGTTTAGGTATAATCTATTTATAAAATGAATATGGTAGGTGACAGTTTTTAACCCAAAACATGAAAAAGAGCATTATTCCAAATATGATCCGATTCTATTAAGGAGTTAATACAGCGTGGGTTATTTTTTTTATCAGTAAACCCAGGTCTTTTTTTTTTTGTGCCAACGATAATTTTACTAAATATCACGTTCTTGTACAGTCGTAACATTTGTGAGTTTCTTGATAAAAGAAAACAGTAAAATGATCACAGCAATAAAGAAAATGTGTAAGGTTGAAAACTTGAACCAAATGTTGCTGTCTAGACAAACGTAAAACTCAAAATAATTTAGACGAAAATGTAACACTGGGAATAGTACTTAAGGACTCAAGAGGGCGATGGATTCTGATGTTTAACAAAGAGGCAGGAACAGAGTCCAGATGATCAAAGTTTTGGTCGTTGAAATTTCTTGGTAAATGAAGATAATGCTTAAGAAATCACTTCATTGGTTGACTGAGGATAAAGTACACAAATAACATCTAAAATATCATTTAAATTTCACTTAGACTTTCCCTTAACTAGATATGTTGGTGAAATTAACTTACTGTACTGTATGTACAGATTTTCTCCGATAATTTTGTCTTTTATGTGAACGTCTTTAGTAAGGGTTGAATCAGTAAATCAGATGTCAATACAGGACCTTACTTTAGTACTTATCCACAGTCAGTCTGTTAGCATTTTCATCTCATTTCTTCAGTAACTATGGCTGTCTATCATACAAATCATTGAATATCTAGAACATGGTTGATTACATTACTGTGTGTACGGTTTATTACTGTACTGGTGAGGAGCATTTCGATACATTTCTATTCATGTCTGGATTAAGGTGCTACCAGTACTGGGTGTATGTAACTAGGTTCAAAAGTTCATAGACACATTACTCCTGAAACTATAAGGGGAATTACTAGACCTATCCTTTATACAGTACTTAAATTTATACTCACCCTTTTAGTCGAGGAAAAAACCCTGATTTTTGTGAGACATAGTCATTACCTTGTAAGCCGCAGGTGTGGGAAAAGTTTAGGTTATGAAGTTCATTCCGTAGAGAGGTGACGTTCAAGCTGGCGTTGACTAACCTCTCACCCACTGCCTGTATCGCCTGTTCCACTGCAGAGGACACATCACTAAACACCTGAGACCGAATTCTCAAACACTCTTAACTTAAAAGTAGTCTTGTAACTGAAGATTTAAAGAAAAATATAATTAAACTGGTTCACTAACGGCTAAAATCACGTCCAAATTACAGTCTCAGTGTAATTTGGACGTGATAGTAACCTTGCAGGGGGTGAACAGACCACAAAACTATCTCAATCCTTTTTCTTCTCATAATCAAAGTAGTCATCCTCATCCCCCCCCCCCTCCCTCCTCCTGCATCTTAAGTATTCCCCCGTTCCTCCACAAAACCTCATTCTTAACCAACTTTAATCCATTCTGTCAATTCCATCATATCTTTAGGTATGCATTAAATCACCTCAAGCTGTTTATCTCTTCTAATCTTTGTTTCCTCTAAACGTCCATTTTTCCATACCATTCATTCTTCCCTATACACCCTTCCATTATACGGGTATTTTCCTTATCCTGTTCCTTTACCAAACATCTATAAGCTCTTCCCAACATCCATCTCTTCTCTTTTCCCATATACAGTACCTTAAAAATCATCCCTATTTCCATTTTCTTTTCTCAGAAACATAATCCAGACCCACACATGAACCATTCAAGCATACTATTCTTCCTCCTTCACTTCATTTACCGTATTTCATCATTGTTCTTCAGTTCTTCCTCAAAATCTTTTCTGTCCTTTCCTAGTACCAAACCCTCCTCCTCTAGATAACTTAAAACTTCCCCGATTAATCTATTTCCTCCCAAGATACTTCATAACCCACCCAACTAGGAGACGACCTATCCCTACCTTCGCCAGAATCGGTGATGTTGGTGATGAGGTTATTGTTTTTGTTTATTTCTTTGCTGAGAAGCTTGAAGCCTTGTTCCAGCTGATTCAACAGTTTTACCTGGAACTCCATCTTCATCTGTTCTTCCTTCTGGGACTTATTTTCTTCCTCTGAAACATATAGTGTATTAAAAATTTTCTTCATCCTTCCAACCATTGAACTTGTGTGGGTGGAAGAATTATTCAGGAGTAAAACACTGACTCCTACAATCTCTGTCATGTAATCTTTCAAAGTACGTTTCAAATGTTTTCTGGTCTGGTGTCCCTTAAAGTATCACTTAAAGTCTATAGAATACAATTTGGAAGATGGGAACTGAAGAAGATTTTAATTATAAATATAAGAACATAAGAGTAGAGGAAACTGCAGCGGGCCTATTGGCCCATACTAGGCAGCTTCGTTTACACCCAACCCCTATCACTCGTATATCTGTCCAACCTATACTTGAAGCTACCCAGCGTGTTCGAGTTAATGATAAATTTCGGTAACTTGTTCCACTCATTCACTACTCTCTTTCCAAACCAGTGTTTATCAATCTCGCGCCTAAATCTAAATTTGTCTAATTTAAAACCAGTGCTACGAATTTGCTCCTGGTTAGATAGTTTGAGTACCTTTGGTTTATCACTTTTGTTTAACCCTGACTTCCATTTATACACCTCAACCACATGGTCCCCTCACTCTACGTCTCTCGAGGAAGTGCAAATTCAGACGCTTTAATCTACCTCTATACTCAAGGTTCCTAATGCCCGGGATTAATCTTGTCATTCTCCTCTTGAGTGCTTTCTAGGGATTCGGTATCCATTATGTAGTATGGTGACCAGAAATGAACCGAGTAATCTCAAGTGAAGTCTCACAAGCTCAAGATATAGTTTTAGGATAACCTCGCAAATCTTGTAATAAACACGCCTTTGTATGAACCCAAGTCCTGTACAGTACTTTGTTAGCCTTGTTTCGAGCAAATATGCATTGTTTTCTTGGTTTAAGATTCCTAATTATCATTACTCCTAAATCTTTTTCACAGTCGAATTTCTCTTTAACAACATTGTTCATCTGGTATCTGGTTTCTCTTTTTACATTATCCTAGACTAAGTACTTTACATTTCCCACATTAATTTAATCTGTCATTTTTTTAGACCGTGGGAAAAATTTGTTTACATCTTCTTGTAGTTTTGTGAAGTCCTCGTCAGATTTAATTACACACCCTATTTTAGTGTCATCAGCAAATTTACTTATGTTGCTGTCTACGCATATATCTATGTCGTTTATGTATATAATAAATAGTAATGGTCCAAGTAATGAGCCTTAGAGTACTCCACTAGTGACGTTACTCCAATCTGATTTAGTGCCATTAATGCTTACTCTGTTTTCTGTCCAATTCCATGAGCCTCCACTCTACGTATTTGTCATTCGTGGGAACTCTGTTGAAGGCTTTGCTAAAGTCGAGGTGAACCACATCATAATCGTGTCCATCATCCACTGATTTGAAAACAGTTGAAAAGAATGTTAATAGATTTGTCAGACATGAACGCCCACTTGTACTTCTCGAGGCGATTTCGAATTGAGTTTGAAAGTATTGCTTCCAGCAATTTGCCTACAATTGATGTATAACTAATTTGACTGTACTGTAGTTAGAGGATAGTGATCTATCTCCCTTCTTGAAAATCGGCATCACATTCTCTATCCTCCAGGATTCCGGTATTATACCCGTTTTTAACATGTTAAAAAAGTTTGCTAAGAGCGTACTAAGTTCTTCCTTGCCTTCCTTTAATACTCTGGCAAATATCTCATCAGAACCTGGTGACTTATTAGGTTTTAGTTTATATATTTGTTTACTAACAGCGTTACTAGTCACTACTCTCACCATTTGTTGTTTACGTCTCGCGGAGAAGCTCTGACCACCTCCGCCCCCCCCCCCCCAGTGCTCCGTTACCTCCGTGTTCACTTCTTAAGCATCTACAATGGGAGTTTCTTATTGGCTATAAGCGAGAGAAGAATTATTATTGGGCAAGAGTTATTTGTCTTAGCAATGAACAATGCGTGGGTGCTTCGGGGGCGGAGATTTGAATTTTCAGTACCAGATATGGCTGAACAGGCTGAAAAACTGTGTTGACATTGTGATAGAGATTATTTTACGTCAATTGCTGAGTTTCATCAGAAAAATAGTGAGGCCATTTCATTTTTTTAGAAAACACGGTGTATTACCGAACAACGTTACTTGTCCAATCAGTGTACACTGCGTGAAGAACACATTTGGCTTGATTCTTCTTCAGATTAAGGTAAGATGTGGGGGCATAAACAAAGTGCTTTGGCACTCATATCCTTGCTACTAAACTTTCGCAGCTAAACACTTTGCAACAAATTTCCCTGCAACCAAACTCCTTGTAAAAATATTTCTCCTGACGACCTTAGAAAACTCAGTCGATCACTCACCTTTGTTTTCGCCGTCGACAAGTTGTGTCACCAGTTTGTTGAGTTGTATGATTGCCAGCTGGTTAGAAAAGGACGTCATACGGAGATAGTCGTCGAGATCGCGAATGCCAGCTGTTTCAAGAGTCTCCTCTACGATGGTGTTGTCACTGTTGCCTGGCGGCGACGTCATCGGCAGGAGGAGACTATTGAGCAACAGCTGGTACTGGAGGAGTGGGTTCCCCAGCATTTGGTGTGAACCCGGTAAAGTCATGGTGAATGGGGTGCGTATGTGCTTGTCTTAGACTTTCCTGATGTTTGGCTTCACTAGAGACTTGGGGTTGAATGGTTTTAGGTATGTCAGGTATAGTTGTGCATTTATTGTTGAAGAACCTCTTTTGTACTCATGTTATTAATGGCAAATGAATTTAGATCTAGAAATTGTTTTTTTTACCTGGAGTATATATCTAAAGAGTCAGATATTTGTTGATGTGCAGTGTATAGAAGGGTATTTGGTAAGTGTCTAGATGTATGTCTTGTATGTCTGAACTCGGAAACATGCATACCTCGAGACTGTAGATGGTCTGTAGTTTGGAGTATTCCCGGGTGATGTGGCTAGGGTATGTGACTGGAGGGTAAAGGGTGCCAGAGTGGGTGTGCGGAGTGTCATTGCACAACCGCAAGTGCCACACCGCGCACAGTAGTCATATATCAGTGCCATTGGTACACAGGAAGCTTATGCTGTGGCATGATAGGAAGACTTAGTGCAACTCTCTCCCTCTCCCTCTCTCTCTAGTGTTTCTAACAGTTTTTCACTACCTTCAATAAAATACGTTCTCTTTTTGTTTAAACTTTATCATTCTGTTCACTCATTTTCTCTCGCCTTTGTTTTTGTAACAGTCTTATTATTCTGCCATTTTCTATTTTATCTCTTAAGATATAGTAAAGGCTTCCAATATTGACTTCTATTATTTTCTTCAACTAAAAACTTGGGAATAATGTAAGACCTTTATCTGAAGAGAAATATACTGTATAGCCTAAATCATTTCGAAACTGAAACCGATAACAGAAAAATTCAAGTTAAAAGGTGAAAGTGTTGTTCATTTAGATATTTTATCGGGGTAACATTTTCGTTCGTGTACACTGTTTATTACGTTTGGATATTCCCGCTTTTGTTTCCACACATCGTCTTGTATTGCATTCCCTATTAATTCTCCCCTACTTTGAAGCGTCTCTAATCCTTGATCTACCCCACACACCAGATGCATAGGAGTAAAAATCAAAGAATAGTTGTTGTTTTTATAAGTCGTATTTGGTCTCTCACACACACACATACTCACGCTTATAAACCCTTCCTCTGTATGGTACAAGGTGGCCGGATTGGAGAGCAACACTGACTATTATTTCGCGTCATTGATTATTTCTGTCTCATCAGGTTTGTTGTGTAAATAAAGGCATAAATAGAGGAATTTACCAGGATAAACATTGATCATTACCTTTGAGTTTGTAGGTTTTCTTTTCAGGACACATCAGGTAAGGCAGTGAGAAAGATTAATTGAGAACGACTGATGAGAGTCTTGTGTTGTGCTGAGTCGTAACGTGCGTGAGAAAAGACTTACAATAATTATTTATACCTGTACCTTAATTTTCTTGGTTATGTTTCACTGATGAAGCAAAATAAAAAATAGAAGTTAAATGACATTTCAATAAAGCGGTAGAGGGTTGGGGATATATATGATATTCTATTGAAGAACGAGTGAACTAGATTTTTTCCTGTAGATGTGGTGAGGGGGAAGGAGAGAGAGAGAGAGAGAGAGAGAGAGAGAGAGAGAGAGAGAGAGAGAGAGAGAGAGAGAGAGAGAGAAGAATAGAGAGAAGGTGGGAGAACTGATATTTATGAGGAAGACCAAATGAACTGGACTGTATATCCTGGTGTGTGGGGCGGGGAAGGAGGCTCAGAGGTCGAAAGGAATAAAAAACTGAAAACTTATTCATAGAAAATACCCAATGAATGGGATTTTTTTTCCTTGGATGAGAAAGAAAGAGATAAAATTATAGGACGAGAATGAGAAAGAGAGGAAAAGAAGAGGGAAATAAGGAAAGACTTAATAATCGGATTTTTGTTTGATGGGGGCTTGGGGACCGTAGTCAGTTGGCGGGGAGGTTTTGGTGCGTATTACGAGTCATGTAGGCGTTTGTATGTTGGAACTAATACACCCTCCCTCCCTCCCTCCCTCCCTCGTCCTTCTCTCTCTCACATTACCTCGTCATTGCTTCCCCTTCTTGCTTCTCCACCCATCCCATTTCCGCCATGCCCTCACTGACCTATTATTGACCGAACCCCCTCGCTGAGGATATTGGGGAAGGAGGGGATCACTAAGGACATGGAAGGAGAAGGGGTTCGCTGAGGACATGGAAGGAGAAGGGGTTCGCTGAGGACATGGGGGGGGGGGGGCAAGTAGAAATTTTTTCAATGGGTTTTTACTGAGATTGTTGTTGGTTATGGTGGTAATATGAATAATGTCATTTATTAACATTCTTTTCATCAGTTTTCGAATCGGTGAACGAGGGGCACAATTATGATGTGGTATATCTCGACTTTAGAAAGCCTTCGACAGAGTCCCCCACGAAAGACTAATTAGAAAGGCAGAAGCTCATGGCATCAAAGGTAACATCCTTAAATGGATTAGGGCGTGGTTACAGAACAGGAAACAGCGAGTGAGCATTAATGGCACTAAGTCCCATTGGAGCAACATCACAAGTGGAGTTCCCCAAGGCTCAGTACTTGGACCATTATTATTTATTATATACATAAACGACATAGATATCGGCATAGACAGCAACATAAGTAAATTTGCTGATGACACTAAAATAGGACGTGTTATTAAATCTGACGAGGACTCGGCAAAACTACAGGAAGATCTAAAAAAAATTTTCGAATGGTCTGAAAAATGGCAGATGAAATTCAACGTGGACAAATGTAAAGTACTCAGTATAGGAGATGTAAACAGGGAAACCAGATACCAGATGAACAACGATGCCATAAGAGAAATCCGACTGCGAGAGAGATTTAGGAGTAATGATAAGTAGGAACCTTAAGCCAAGTAAACAATGTGTTTTTGCTCGTAACAAGGCTAATAAAGTACTTGGGTTCATACAAAGGAGTGTTAGTTACAAGACTAGTGAGGTCATCCTAAAACTGTATCTTGCTCTTGTGAGACCACACCTGGATTAGGCAGTTCAGTTCTGGTCACCATATTACAGAATGGATATAGAATCCTTGGAAAGAATTCAGAGGAGAATGACAAGACTAATCCCGGGCATTAGGAACCTTGAGTATAGAGACAGGTTAAAGCATCTTAATTTGCACTACCTCGAGAGACGTAGAGCGAGGGGCGACCTGAAGAGGTATATAAATGGAAGGCAGGGCTAAACAAAGGGGACATTACAAAGGTACTCAAACTATCCAACCAGGAGCGAACTCGTAACAATGGTTTTAAATTAGACAAATTTAGATTTAGGCGTGAAATAGGTAAACACTGGTTTGGAAACAGAGTAGTGGATGAATGGAACAAGTTACCAAATATCATCATTAACTCGAATACGCTGGATAGCTTCAAACATTGGTTGGATACTTATATGAGCAATAGGGGTTGGGTGTAAACGGGACTGCCCAGTATGGGCCAATAGGCCCGCTGCAGTTTCCTCCATTCTTATGTTCTTATGTATATAGACAATGCAGGTACTTTATAATGTTTAGCATGTGTATAAACAGTAGGTAAACTAGGTATACGGACCGCGGAAGTATACCGTTTCCAATGTACCTGGACAGTGTAGGTATGCAACAATAGTAAACAGTAAAGTAATATGACCGAGGAAAACCACTCCATTACCTCCTCTTGTCACTCCGCCTCTTTTTATTAGTTGGATGTTAATTCTTAGCAGTGTGTGTGCACTGAGCGAGGTCGTTGGCGTGTGTGCTACGTCACTGTTTTTCTCGGTACCACAGCAGAGCCAGCCGGTTGGAGCACTCCGCCTCCCAGCTACTATTGAAACTCCACGTCTGCTACCACTTGCCTGCTGCTTGCTCCCTGGCACACATTTTGAATCTGTTTACACGTACCCATTTGAAACATGTGAAGACGCATTTGGAAACTATGTAGACGTACGACTTTGTTTGCTGTATCAACGTAGGCCTTTATATGCAATGTAGGCGGAGACCTTTGGATGCTGTGTAAATCAGGCATTTGGAAACTGTGTTAACTTTCTGCAGGTCGTTGCAAAGACTTGAGTTGTTGTTTTTCCCTGTCTGCCATCATGAAAACCCGTGTGATACCTCCTCCCAGGCCCCAGTTTTTCGTCCAACCCTCCTTCAGTCAGATTCCTTTCACTCCTTCCCCCTACAGTCAGATCCCTTTTGTCCAAAGCCCTTTTTTGACTGAAGCGTCACACCTGCACCCTACTTTTCTGGACAACCCGCTGCTGTTGCCGAGCCTTCTGCTGATTCTAGGCTTTACCGGCCGGCACCTCACCACCAACCTGACCACCACCCTCGCCGACAAAGACAGCTTCCAGAGGCTCCTCTTCAACAACCGCCGTACCGTCGACGACATCAAGTACAACCTCACAAATATCAACTATCATCACCGACACAAAGGTACGCGTGGGTTTTAAGATTCACACACACACACACACACACACACACACACACACACTTACGGTATTCTCTTCCCCTATCCCACATATCAAGAACAGCTCAACACACTGACCCTCTCGGCTCTCTCTGATCATTGCCATGACCTCATCTGCAAGTTTGGTGAGAAGTTTCTGCACCACCCTTGACATTGGCTCCTGCTTCCACCCGAGATCCCCCGTCTGCAAATTACTGTTCAACACCACAACTGCTTCCGGCCCATACGAGCACGTACTGATCGCTAAAAGAACAGCCCAGTCCCAACAATTGTAAAAAATTTCAGCAAATCGTAGTCAACCATTGTGTTTTTTCCCAGCCAATCTTATAATTATTATTATTATTATTATTATTATTATTATTATTATTATTATTATTATTATTATTATTATTATTACAGTATATTTTCGCCTCCAGGGCCTTGATGTGGGTCACTGACTTGTGCCCTGGCGGGCAGATCTCGAAAAAAAGTGATTTATTCCACATTTATGTTACTGTATATTTTCAGCCTTTTGGCTGCCGGGCTTTTACAATAAATCGTTTATATATATAAATATATTATATATATATATATATCACACTTCTAGGAGCCAATTGCGAAGAAACCCCGAATTTGTGTAAAACGCAACAAATAAGAGATGAGCCAGACAGCCTTTCCTCCGGGTTCTTGTCTCTTCAGGAATCTGTTCTCGACCTTCAGAAAACTTTGACCCGCCGCTTGCACAGGAAAGTGCCCCAAAAAGGTGAGTAGATGTTTGTTAGGGAAGTCCCGAGAAAGTTAATTAATTTTTATGAAGGGGCAGAAGATTTCGTTGATATTTTGAATGTTTGCCTTCTTGAGGGAGCTAAGGAGAGAGGACAAGGTTAACCAGTGACTCAAAGTCAGTTATTATATAATTTAAAGTATCAACCCTCAATTTCCATAAGCGGGAACAGTTCATACTACTGTACAGTATACTTACAATTGATTTGTTGGTCACTTGCATTTTATTCCTGAATATATCCCTCAACTCCTTGGAATATTTGACCGTTTTTCCTTCTCGTATTTGTCAGTCAATATGTTTATCAGTCCGTCTGTCTATTCAATTATTAATTTATTTATTCATCAATCCATAGATCCATCCATCCATTTATCTGGCCATCCATCAACCCATCCATTCATCTGTATATTGGTCCAATCATCAACTCATCCATTCATACATTAACTCATCCATTCATACATTAACTCATCCATTCAAACATTAACTCATCCATTCATACATTAACTCATCCATTCATACATTAACTCATCCATTCATACATTAACTCATCCATTCATACATTAACTCATCCATTCATACATTAACTCATCCATTCATACATTAACTCATCCATTCATACATTAACTCATCCATTCATACATTAACTCATCCATTCATACATTAACCCATCCATTCATATATTAACTCATCCATTCATACATTAACTCATCCATTCATATATTAACTCATCCATTCATACATTAACTCATCCATTCATACATTAACTCATCCATTCATATATTAACTCATCCATTCATATATTAACTCATCCATTCATACATTAACTCATCCATTCATACATTAACTCATCCATTCATACATTAACTCATCCATATATATTATCACAGTATTTATCCATGCATCTTTTACACTCCGCCCTCCACATTCAATACCCGTAGGCAAGATTTTTATTCCCATTCAACAATTACGGGAAAAGTCGCTCTCTTCACCTCTGAGAATAGGAATTTTTCATGTGAGCTTTCTCTAATTGTCTTTAAGCTTTCTTTAATACAGTATCTTTAAATTTCTTTGACGTACAGGGGACCTTGGTTATGAAAATTCCCTTACTTAGAAAAAAGCATGATTTCTTTTTTAGTTTTTTTTTTTTAAGAATTGTATTGAATTTTTATTTTAAATTACTTTTTTATATATTGCAGTCCAAGAGGTTTTTGTATTCAAGGGTAGAAATTGTCTTAGATATTTTTATTTACTTATTTATTTATATTTTATTTTTTTATTTATTTTTTTTTACAGCAAAGATGCACCTTGAACAGATATACCTTAGGGTTTTATATTTTGGATGGAGAAATTAAAACTTTTTATTCTGGAGTGAAAATTTCTGTGTATTTTGGCTTTGCTTTGGAGGGAAATATGTTGTGTCTGGTTTTGCCGGTAAAAAAAGTCGAGTCAAGGGATTTTGTGGATTTTATGTTTTAAATGTAAGTGTCTCAAGTGATTTTTTGTGCTGAACGTAAAAAAAAATTCTTATAGAGGAAATTTTTTTTTTCTTTTAGACGGTTAAAAATGTTAAAACAAACGCCTTTTGTTTGATGAGAAAAAAATTTTCATAATTTTTTTTCTAAAGGTTAAATGTTTAGTACTTGTTGTTCTGAAGAGAGAAAAGTTAACCATAAAAATTTTAATTTTTTGTGAATTTTTCTTTTCTTTCATTTCCGTGTAGGGACTAGCCAGGCCAGGCAGAGTGATGTGTGTGTGTGTGTGTGTGTGTGTGTGTGTGTGTGTGTGTTCATGCTTTGTTATGTCTGTCTCTCCGTAAGGAAATAAAATATTTCACACACACACACACACACACACACACACACACACACACACACACACACAGAGAGAGGCTCCTTCACTGGTGGGTTTACAGGGGCTCGTCAAATAAACATTTCACAAATCATTACATTAAGATATTTTAGCATTGTTTTACTCTGATTCCATAATGTGTTTACTATTGTGAGTTTCCTTCTGTCGAATGTAAACAAACACAGGGCTGCCACACTACACAAAACCTGACGAGCCCCTGTAAACGCACTAGTGAAAGGGACTGTACGTATACTCAAATACTGTCTGATTATTCTAGCATCTCCAGTCACCATCCCCTTATCTGATTATTCACTCATTTTCTCTACACCACTTCGGGACCCTCTTGATGTGTCTTGCCTGTGAAGGTGGAGACATGAACGAAATCCTCGACCACATGTTGCTAGACCTGGAGACTCGGAGTAAGGATCTGGAGAAGCGACAAGCAGACGGGATGACAAGGCACCTTAGACACTCACAGGAACACCGTCAGTATTATTATTATTATTATTATTATTATTATTTTACTCTTCTCGGGGTTCATGATAATAGAGGTACAGGTAATAAGTGGGGTTGTAGGAGGGTGAGGAAAAGAAGAAGAAGTAGTAGTTGTAGTAGTTGTTGTAGTAGTAGTAGTAGTAGTGGTGGTGGTGGTGGTAAAAAGTTGGTCTCGTGTACGATAGAGAGCAGGAGTGATAGCTGAAGTAGTAGTTGTAGTATTTATTTAAAACAAATAATGATATTAATATGCACTTACCTTGGCTACAGCATCATTTTTTATATTTGTAACCATATGGGAATAATTGTACCATAGTGTACTTTTATTTTGCGCCTACATATTTATTTGTACTGATATCTTTAAATAAGTAATCTTGTCTGATTATGGGACAATGTATGATGATTATGCTAGTGAAAGTGAAATAAATTAAAAAGAATTGATGTTAGTGAAAGCATTCAGAGTAGTGCCTTAATTATTATTATTATTATTATTATTACTACTACTACTACTACTACTACTACTACTACTATAGTACTATTATTCCTGTTAATATTATCGTTGTTTTTATTATTGTAATCATTGTTACTATTATTATTATTAACCTTCTTTGTTCCCCTAACTGAGATGACCTCTACCTGTCTCCCTTACTGAGGTAACTTCACGGTCTTCCCACAGTGAGAGGCTGTAGAGAACCATTCTTTGTGTTGGGTGGTGAGTGCTTCTACCTGAGCTACAAGAACAAGCTGTCCTGGCACGACGCTAACTCATCTTGTACCATGATGGGCGCTCACCTAGCCGAGCCCGGTAACCTCCGTGATCTGGCTGCCATTCTCCAGAACCTGCGTGAGTACCCTCTGTCCCTCCTGCCGGGTGCCATTCTGAAGGATTTTCATCAATATACTTGTTCTAGAATTTTAGACTGTCAGTCTCATCTAAACAGATAAGTGTAGATCTGGCGCTTAATTACTTGTTGAACTAAACTTTAATTGGCAATTCTTAGCTTTACTAGTGCACGAATGGTAGTCTTTAGCTCTACTAGTGCCTATAGTGTAATTCATAGACCTAATATTGCCTAATTAATTCATAACTGTTAGTGTCTAATTTGTAAATAGTTCTTCTAGTACCTAATTGGTAGTTTAAAGATTCCTTTTTTGAATTGGGAGTTTAACATTGTCTATCTCCCTAATTAGTAGTTCACAGCTCTTATGTATTTTAATTGGTAATTATCATCTATATTTCTCCCAATTTGGAAATTAATGTACCGGATGTATCTTCAGTAAATCTCTGATTGGTATGAAACATCTAACCTTCGACCTGATTGGTATTTAACATCTGTATAGGTCCTCTCTGTTCAATGGGTAGTTTAGAGTTCAGCCCCCCCCCCTCCCCCGTGGCTGATCATAAAGGTGGTACAGTACAGTTATATACAGTACGTGGTACTTGTTGTCCTCAGCTACCAAGTTAAAGCGGTGGTGGGTGGGAGGTTCTGACGAGGCTCAGGAAGGAGACTGGCGGTGGTTGTCGGGTCGACCAGTGAGTAGCAGTGACTGGAGGGAAGGTCAGCCCAGCAACATCAGTCTAACCAATGACGTGCAGGATTGTCTGGCCCTGGCGATGGTGAAGACCCAAAGCCCTCCCCTCGATGATTACTCCTGCTGGAAAAAGAGGGCCTTCATCTGTCAGCAGGACCTGGAATAGCTTGTGTTTTCTTCTCATTGCTTAACGTCTTTCCCTCTTTTATTTTTTCCATTTTATTATCATCTTCGATGACTGTTCCTGTTGCAGGTAGATGGATTTCATCTGTCAGTTCACTTCGAGTGTTGACTTAAAAAAATATTTCCTCTTTTTCATTTCTTCTTTTATTATTATTTACTTGAACTACTTTTCTTGTTTGAAGAAGACGATGGTCTTCGTCGGTTATCCAGATGCCCATTGCTCACCTGGAATAACCCTTTCTTTTTTTTCCTTTTTTCTTTTCCCTTTTCATTTTCTTCCTCCATAATTTCTCCCGGTGAAAGGGAACTTTCATCAGCGAGCTGTATAGTGGCACCTTTCCTTTCCTCTGCGTGCTGATGCTGTGGCAAAAGCAGCTGCTTTTCGTCCTGTAGCACATCATTCCCCTCTACCTGCCTCTGATATGAAGCTAGAAATAAGAGCTGTCATCCGCTCGAGTTGGTAATGCAAGTGGGATGCCGTCGGAGCAAACAAGCTCCGCGATATCTATCCTGCATTGAGTGCCTGGGGACATCAAGGACTGTCACAGCCGGGAGACTGCTTTGGCCTGCCTCCGTATTGACCACACACAGCTGACTCCTGATTTTTTTTTTTATGAAGAAGGCACCCCCTCCCCATTGTGATAACTGCCTGGTCCCATTGACTGTTCGACACCACCTGGTGGAGTGTCCCAGTCTCATGGTTCTCGTAGTAAGCACCTCTCCCAATGCCGGGTGGGAGACGGGTCTTAGCGTCTCTGGTTCTGGCGGAGGAGTGGGTAGTGTGGGAGGGGACGTCCTCTCCTTCGTGGAGGAAGCCGGTCTTCTACATAAGGTTTGAGTTTCATCTATTCACGTGTTGAAATGTTTTTTTTTACGAAAGTTCTGTGTTATTTGTTACTAAGTTTTTTACCTTCCAATACAGTATTTGATTTTATTATTTTAAGCCATTATTTTTATCCGGCGACATATGACCTAAGCTGTTGCGTCGCCAGGGATGTAATTGATCAATCAATCTGCCTCTTCGCGGTATTAGCCAAGAAAAAAAAAACTTTATTTCATAAATAGCGTATTCGACTTTACTTTGATTTTCCAAATGTTTTAGCAGGTATTTCTTGAAGTCTTAGGAAAATAGACATTCGTTTATTTGAAGATACGATGCAAAGTAGCCAGTATACTTTTAAATCTTAATTTAAGAAAAGAATAAACAAACGTCTTTATACTAAGTACGTGTTGTAGAAGACTTCTAACAGAAGAAAGACTATTTTAGTTAGTGTTTAAGCACTTGAGTGAACTGCCATATTGTAATTAGCTGGTAAGAAAGTAAATAAAAATAAATAATGATTAGTTTATTTATATCCACGGCCTATATGGCAGATAATTTTTTTATTTTTTTCCGTTATTTCATGATGACCTCTTAGCCTTGGCTTTACAAGTAAAGGTTGCCGGGTTCCAGTCCCGTCTCTAGTGAAGGACTGGTTTCTCTCTTCTAGTCTTACAGTTCCACATTCATCATTATTAAAAAGACTATACTGTCGGGTGCACTTGTCCATGGTGGAGCAACCCTGGGGTGGATTAGGGGTAACTCACTAGCTGCTGAATGATAAGAATTAGGAGATCAGCACCTGTTCGGCCATCCTGCTTGATTACAAGGAAGTACTTAGGTGCAAGAAGAGGGGTTATTTCTACTATGGTTTGGAATTAATCCTGGGCTGGAGGCAGTGATAGTATGGTCGTCGTGTTTGAAAGCTGAATGAATAGTGGACGGGGCAAACTGGTGTCTGGTCCTGCCGTTAATGTGCTCTTCCCTCCCACCAATCCTACCGTTAACCTGCTGTTCCTCTCATCTGCCTGTTGACTTGTTGTCTTATCATACCGTTAACCTGCTGTTCCTCTCACCTGCCTGTTGACTTGTTATTTTATCATACCGTTGCACTTGTCTAATCCTGTCGTTGACCTGTTGTCTCTGGCCCTAATGACTCCCTGAGTCTCCTTCCCTAATGCGTCTCGGTATGATTTTTTTTTTACGGGGATTAACCCACCCAGGCACAGGTCACTGACCCACATCAGGGCCTGGGGGGCGAAAATGTAATAATAATAATAATAATAATAATAATAATAATAATAATAATAATACAGTAATAATAATAATAATAATAATAATTATTCATAGTAAATTAAATTTATAATAAAATAAAAACAAATTTGAAAATAAAATAATAATAATAATAATAATAATAATAATAATAATAATTATTCATAGTAAATTAAATTTATAATAAAATAAAAACAAATTTGAAAATAAAATAATAATAATAATAATAATAATAATAATAATAAAGAACCATAAAGAAATACAAAAATGAAGAAAAAAAAGATCAAACTTGAGAAACAATATATGTATGTTGTGTTGTCAATAGTAAGAGAAACAATTGAGACCCTGTAATTGTGTGTAAATGAGGCAGAAATTCAGATTAGCAACCTGAGACCTGGTCAAAATTTTTGTGACTCCATTTGGCAGCAGAGTCTACCATTAGACAAAACATTATGCTTCCAATATCTTCCCAGGCGGTAGGTATAGTACCTCCCTGTCTGGTAGCTGGTTACTACCTACTACCATTGCGTGTGGAAGCCACAGCAACGTGTCTAGGATGTTACATCATAAAGAATAGATTCTTATATTGCCAAGAACTCGTAATACTGCACCAAAAGTATAATTACTAAAATCTTGAAAATTCTTATTTGTACCTAAAATACTTAATTATGTAGCTTAAATTTGTATCTTTACTAATACTGTATATCTTGTTCATACTATGTAATTTTTATACTGTATTCATTAACTCTCATATATCCATATAAACTTTTAACTGTTCAGTACAGACATCAGTGTTGTTAATATGTAAATTCTTACCAGTTATTACTAATATCATTTAGAGTTACGTATCATATATATATATATATATATATATATATATATATATATATATATATATATATATATATATATATATATATATATATATATATATATATATATATATATATATATATATATAGTTAGTTAGTTAGTTACTTAGTATACATCAAAGTAGACAATGACTTTTTTCCGCCATGATATTTTCGTTTTAACAAATCATGTGAAGAATCACATGAGTACAGGTACTGTGCTTAGACCGTAAATTTTCATGGGGTTCACCATTGACAAAAAATCAATCATTAACCTAAATCACTCCATTATTATAACTAAAGGCATGAATACCGATTATTCTTGGCGAAGAGAATGTATGAGTCAGAGGTAGAAGGTTGGAGGGAAAAATAAGGTAAAGGAAGAGATAGGTGGATGGGGTGAAGGTCGCGTTAGAAGAGAGGGGGATGGAGGGAGGGAAACGGCGGTACAGGTGAGTTAGGAGAGCATAAGAACATAAGAATGGAGGAAACTGCAGCGGGCCTATTGACCCATTCTGGGCAGTCCTATTTATACCCAACCCCTATTGCTCATATAAGCATCCAACCTGTGTTTGAAGCTATCCAGCGTATTCGAGTTAATGATGATATTTGGTAACTTGTTCCATTCATCCACTACTCTGTTTCCAAACCAGTGTTTACCTATTTCACGCCTAAATCTAAATTTGTCTAATTTAAAACCATTGTTACGAGTTCGCTCCTGGTTGGATAGTTTGAGTACCTTTGTAATGTCCCCTTTGTTTAGCCCTGACTTCCATTTATGGCGTCGGGTGGTTATGGGGATGTCTGGTGTTAGGCTGAAGGGTGGCAATAATTAAAGGGAGAGTCTGTCTTTACTCTTAACTGCAGCCACCTTCCAGGATGATGAGAAAAAGGCACAGTAATCAGTACAGTATAATGAATAGAAGACCACTTGAAGAAAAATATATACAGTATGTCCACAAAAGAAACATACATACGAGTGATTATGATGCCGATAATGCTACATATATATATTTCACATAATAGTAAATATACAGTGTACATATTACACATATATTCTATAGTTACACATATAATGCATAGAAAGAGTTTATATATGTTACCTATCAACTATCTTATGACGGAACACATAGTTAAATTCAATACTGTATATGGAAATTAAAGTATATTTAGAGGCTTTGTTGTCATTATCTTGCTATGAAGGCGACACATCCTGGTGGCTGAGTAGTTAGGTTAATAAAACAATGAAATGAGAATTAACAAGTATCTTTTAACCAAATAATAATAAAAAAATGCGCAATTAGGTGAATAGAACAATGGTTATTTTTTGTAGTATAATGAAAATACAGTACAGAACATGTAGTATATAAGAATCTAGCTACAGTAGAGTTTTGTTTTAAAGGTGTGTGTATAAAGATGACAGTTAAGTACAGTAGGTAAAAATTACACCTTTTAAAGTATGGAAAAAAACTATTAAGGTATGTAATGATAAAACTTATAAAGTATTGAAACATTAAATCTAAAAATATCTAAAGATAAAACAATTATGACGACAAAACTTATAAAAGTGTATACATAAACATAAAAATGAGTGAAATGTTAAAACACATCAGCTGAAAGTATTAAAGATAAAACAAACTTATCTCATGAAACCACAAAAACAGTTCTAATGCAAATGTAATGGAAAAAAATTACAAAATTATACAAAGATCAAAGGGGAAGGTTGTGCAAAGGTCAGTCATCTCAGTGTAGTGCATAACTCAAAATTTTCCTTCATACACTAAAAATATATATAAATATGGAACCCAATATTTTGAGAAAATAAAGATTAATATTACTGAAAGACGTGACATGATCTTGAGAGTTATCAGATATCACATGACTCGTCAAAATACTTTTTAGCTTTATGCATAGAAATAATTTTATTCATAAGATATACAAAGGATGCCTGATCAAGACACAGAGTGAATTTATACGTGTCTTAGATCGTCCTGCCTGTGGTCGTAGAGGTAAAGTGGTGCTGGGTTAGGCTGTCTTGTGTGCGGAAGTCGGAGAGCTAGAGCTGCACCTTGATATTGCTTCACCGTCATCTTGTTAGTCTAATGATAATCTCATAACGTTAGCATGTCTCCCCATCTCCACAAAGCGTTGACTCATATGCCAAGGAAATCATAAAAAAATCTCCCCCTGTCGTTTTGCATATCCCCTCAGCATTGTTTGTTTCATCTCCTCACAGCATCACCATAACTTCCTAAAAAATCATGCAATTTACTCACAGTATTATTGCATCTCCCCATAAAATAAATTCATTTTCCCTCAGCATCATTTCATATTCGAAAATTGTTGTGTCATCTCCTCACAGCATCATTTCATCTCCCTACATCATTTTGCCTCATTACAGTTGAATGTGATCTAACCTACAGAATCATGTAATTTGTCTACAGCATCACCTTATATACACCAAGCATAAGTTTATCTTCTCTACACATATACTGTACACCCTATGTCACTCCCTCTCTCCAAAGCTGCTCCCCTTTCCTGTACCTCCCCAACATCACCGCACCTCACCACATCATTCACATTACTGTACCTAACTCCCTCAGCATCGCTACATCTCCCCAATACCACTCCTCTGTACTTGCCATATACCTCCGGTGCACCATTCCTCTTCCCTTCAACGTAACCAACAACGCTTCTCATCCCTACATTGGATTTACTTCTCTTTCTTCTCGTTCTTTAATCCCCATAGCCTTCTGACAGATGAAGGTGGCGTGGTTGTAGCAAGGACTGTCATGAAGTGCAGGATACTCGTCTCGACTTAGTACCACGCAGTTCTCGTTGCCGCCGTTCGGTTGTCCTCTCGCCCACTCCCTCGTCGACAGAGGAGACTTGGACAGCCACATCCAGTTCCCGTCTGTGCTCACCTCGGATGCACCCAACCAGAAGAACCGGTAGGTGTCCTCAGCTGGTGATGAAGGTGGGAGGAGATGTGTTAGGTTTATTTATACCTGTAGCTTAGACAGAATTTAAGAATTAGATTATTCCATACTTGGCATTTCTCAGTCCCTTATAAATTTAACACTGATTTACCGATATCTCTTGCAGTCAGATGATATGTGTCAATCTCAAAACTGTCATGATAACTCCTAAAGCGTACGAACCTGCCCATGACACGTGTTTTTAATTGGGTCGGGTAATCAATAGGCTTTGGTTAAACTTCTCAATTCCGAAATATACTGGACCCTTAGCGTGTTGATACTTATTGACTTTGTAATGTTTATTTCTGAGCCTTGGTAGAAACTGTCATTACGGAACATCCACAACTTACAGAACAGCCCATAGACATACGGAACATCCACAACTTACAGAACAGGCCCCAGACTTAAGGAACATCCACAAAATATAGAACAGCCCCCGACATACGGAACATCCACAACTTGCAGAACAGCCCCCCAGACATACGGGACATCCACAACTTACAGAACAGCCCCCCAGACATACGGAGCATCCACAACTTACAGAACAGCCCCCAGACATACGGAACTTTCTTCATACTTACGGAACTTGTCAAGAAGCATTGCTCTGAGTTTTTTTACACTACGCGGCTGGGCCAGATCAGCCTGTAGACTCTGACAGAACTTGCGCGCCTCACTCCAGCTGACCTGCCTGTACTTGTTGACGTAGAAGCATTCTGATCCATGCTTTGAAAACGGTGGCTCGCACATCTCTTCTGTAAGACGGTGATGAAAGGGATTATTTCAGAATTAACAGCGTTTTAGAAAAGATATAGAGGATTAAGGATATTTCGGGTTGGATTTACTGTTATAGTTTATTTTAAGTCCTCCTCCTCACCTTCCTCTTCTCGGTCGTCGGCCTTATGGTTAGCTTCGTTCAGTGAGAGGGTGTTGTTCTGGACGGCCTCTACAAGCTCCTTCAACACCTCCGTCAGGTTACCCGCCCTCTCCTGCACATCCAACTCTGAACCTGCGGTGAAAAGTGACATGTCTCAGTGTTTCAGAGGTCACGTGTTCCAGGAATCATTTCACCATGAACTTTTCAGGTGTATAATTTTAAATTAAGCTGCACTAATCCTCTTGACCTTGAAGGCTCATGACTGCAAATATCACTTAGACTTAAAAAAAACTTTAAAAGTCCTTCGTACAAAATTCCCTTGACTACAAAATTAGTTTTGATCATACAAAGATCTACTGGAGATAGTAAGACTGCAAAAATTATCATCTTAAAATCTCTATGAACTGAAAAATCCCAGAATCCTAAATACCCAATTGATATAAAAAACAAAATCCTCCTGACAGTAAAGGCCCCCTTGACTACAAAGTTCCCTTGCAGAAACTTACCATCCCCGGGACCCGGTGCAGGGCTCGGGTTTCGAGTGGAAGCGAGTGTATCCTCTACCTCTCTAAGGATCTGAGCCAGGTTCTGAATGGCTGTGATGGTCTTCTGCTGTAGGTTGTCCCCGGAGGAGATATATTGTGCCTGAATTTCCTGGAGAACAAACACTTGGAGCACCAGGATTAAGATCAGGACCTTCATCCTCGAAGTGGTGGTGGGGATCCTGTTGGGCAGTGAAGAGACTTACATTTTAATCTTATTACTGATTCATTCAGATACAAATATATGTACAGAATAGTACTTCGAAATTTTTGTATTACAGTATACATATAGCAGAGGTCCAGGGTTCGATTCCCGACTAGTGAGGTTTTGATTGTACAGAATCAGGACCCAAATCTCGCCATTTGCTAATGTGACCGTCATGCTCTTTGCAGTAGTGGGCGGATATTTTTTTAACTCAAGATATTGGCACACCCTCCTCCCCCCTCAAAAGCTCAGGCAGTTATTTCAAACAAGGTACAGTATTGAAGGCGTGCGGGGATACTATTATTTGACTTAAGGAAACCAGTGACATTGAGAATCTGTTTACATTTAGAAATTGGCGACCTGTGGTATAATGGTCAGCATGCTCTCCTCTCATGCGAGTGAACCCGGGTTAGATACCCGGGCAGGGTGAAACTATAGGCAAGTTTCTTTACGCCATTTACCTCTGTCTAACCAGCAGTAACTGGGAACCCGGATGTTAATCGATTTGCGAATCGTATTCCGGGGTAATGGTTAACCAGTGCAGTTGGCGAATTGTCCGGTCTTCTCGGACTATTCCTTGACACTGGGTCATGCAGCTCATTAACTCAGGGTGTGGTTGTGTTGGCGACAGCTTCTACACCTAAAACAAATTCACGCCTAGGTGGCCCTTTGGCCGGCCATCCTCGTTACACGAGAGGCAACCATGATTACATTTAGAAATTGAGATGGTACACTAAACAGTAATTTATTTACCCTTACGTCCATTGGTAGAGGTAAAATTGTTAATATATTACACTGAGGTCAACAAAGCATTCTAAATATTACGTAATGTATATTCGAAGTCGTGGAAAAAATAATAATGAATGAGTTTTTAAAAAAAAAAAAAAAAAAACATTTCTTAATTTCCCACGTTTGTTCGCTTCATTACGCAGCGTTGTGTTAGAACTCACAAAAATATTTTTGCTGTTTTGCATTAGCTTTTTTTCTCGCAGGTTTATAGAACTTAATAGTAAACTAGGTCATGGTATTGAAGTGACGCTGATTAATATAAAACGAGAAGTAGTATTTGTTATTAGTTATTATTTTCTGGGTACGTTGGAACAGTCGTGCTACTATTTCATGTTCACGTTTCCTCGCTGGTTAAACTTAGCTGTTTTATTTTCACCTTTTATTTATTTATTTTTCATATATGTATTTATGAAAATTTTAAACAAGATGAAAAAGATAAACATGGACTAACAAGTGTTCTATATTGCAGTCTCGTGTTACTGGTGTTTACACTTTGCTGTATATGTGACATCAGGTTTGAGTATTACTCCAAGCTAGACCAACACGAGCACCTATCAGTTAAATTCAAGAGCCTGCACCTGCTAACAGTGCGCAACACAGAACTGATCCACCGCCCGACCTGTTAAGTACAGTAAGTTGCCACTTGGTGAAGAGGAGAAGCTTAGTAAGTAAATAATACAGTACTGTATAACTGTGTCGACAATCTACAGACGCCAGCCGCAACAAGAGCTACACCATGATATTTCCTAACAAAATCAGTTGTTGTTCAGAGGGACGTATACTCACGCTCTTTTGTCGTAAACTCTAAAAGATTTTTATGTTAAAACTAGTTTGCCTATAACTAACTTTTTTCAAGTTTGTTCTTATATAATTTTGGCTTCATAATTGTATATAGAAGTGAGCGTGCGTCTGTATATGTACATATATTTTGTGTAAACTTGTGTGTAGTTATATTATATGTACGTGTTTGTGCAGGCATTATATGGGCGGGTCTGTTTGTATGAGTGTACACATGCAGTAGGCACACCCAAATTACTCACAATTTAAGGGTAATTTCATCTACACCAATGGTTCCCAAACTGGGGGGCGTGAGGTTGATAAGGGGGACGTGAAGCCGTGTGAAAAACATATACTAGTACAGTATACCGACATTATTTTTTTCTTTATAAGGAAATTTTCAAAAAAATTGTGTAACTTTATTTTTTCTTAGAATATTTCAATCATCCCCATATTTACGAAACACATGGATAAATTAATTAAGAGTTGATTTAGAAAGTAATATACGGTAATTACTAGTACAAGGTGAAAAAATAAGTAAATGTTTATTAAATTTATTTTAAAAGTGGGAGGGGAGCGTGATGGTCTGGTAAGAAGCAAGGGGGGGTCATGTGAAAACGTTAATGAACCACTTCTCTACAGTATGGTTGAATATATGAAAATTTACGAACTTGCACATGACTGGCCCCACAAATAATACCATTACCTATACCTTTGTGCTGGCTGATTTTTGCACCTTACTGTACTTATCAACTCAACAGTGTGTGGAATAAAACTGTACCATTATTCCATATACTGTATTGTTTAAACAACACTCACCTTCGAGAAGCTGTGGAGTTAACAAGCACTATAGATACTGCTGATTATTCCTCTTCAATAAAGTTTTCTTTCATGTAAGCCAAAATAAACTGCTCCAAGGCGAACAGCAGCCTTACAAGGACGTGTTGGTGAGATTCTGTAGGGTACTGTGGCGTGGCAGTGTCTGAAAGAGGGGAAGGGTTCTACCCTGCGAATCTGGCAACAGGTCATTCTCAAGGACCCCCATTCATGTCCCGGTCTCTGCTTTCTGGCCACGCCTTTCACCTTTTTAAATTAGGCACAAATGGCCCCCACGATTCTCGTCATGGTACAGTGGAATTATACTTATATATGATCTTACATGTTGTCTTTAAGAAAAAATCTATTTAGCCTAACAGATGAATTAATAATAAGGTTATATCGATGGTATCCGTAAAGCTAAAATGAATAACCGCATTCAAGTTTAATCCCCCGAGACAAGGCCACAAGATATAGACCAGTCCCCCGGGTTACTTACAGCTACAATACTTTTGTAGGTTCGTGGTGTTCACAATGTCTTACTGTAACACAACCAACACACAGCGAGAACGTATCATAACCAGTTACACGACCAATCCTCTTCTTATATACTATTAAAACAGAGTTACCTTTGTATGAAAACTACTGGACGTAGATAAAAAAAAATGCAGAACCAAACGAGACCTAAGATCCTTTTACTCGCGTTTACTTAAGCTCCGGATAAAGAAATTTCTCGAGGTTATCGAATAATTTAATAGCTTGGCGAAGACGACAGAGCGCTTGAGATGTTAAGTTTCCCTTTACAATACATTGACCTAGTGAACAGTTCATTTTAGAGCCCATATTTGTACTAGTGAAGAGAACAGTATCCGGGGATGAGGGTGTAACACGGCACTTGTTGAGTAGTGGTGCTCTGCTCCATGGATGATTGTGGTGGGTGGCTGTGTTGGATTGTGTGGGGTGTGTGCTGGATTGTGTGGTTGCGTGTTGGATGATTGTGTGGTTGTGTTGGATGATTGAAGGGTTATTTTGAATAATTGTGAGGTTGTGTTGAACGATTATGTTACATCTGGTTGTATGATGATTGGCTAAGAACTGAATAATTATTTTACATCAAATGACATTCAGTGCAGTAAATATCTCACGACTCCTTAACTTTGTGCTGTATTTAGTGGAAGATAATTACCGGGTACCTCATGTTTACCGACTATTTCCAGGGGTAGAAGAACCTCCAGAGTCAGGCGGAACAAGGAGGTCCTCATCAGGTGTGGCAACAGAATCTTGAGAACTGATCCAGATTAGCTGTGGACAGTGTTATCCTCGCGTTCTTGGACATTAATACAACTACTTTTTTAAAACCTATTATCGATAAATAACTTCTTCATTTTAATCAGGTGAGACATTTGTGTTTTTGTGGACGTAATTGTCTTTAGTTTGTAGGGCTCACCTGAAGAACTTCCACCCCAGCTTATTTCACCTTAAGATTAACCAACCACCCAAACGTTAACCTAACCTCATCCCTCCAAATAGTGTTAGGGTGATTAATCTTTAGGTGAAATAAGCTGAGGTGGAGATTCTTCAGGTGATCTGTTTGTAGTGTTTGGGTGTTGGGGTAGGTGGGGTTGATGAGGGGAGGAGGAAGAGGAGTGTACGAGTAGGTTTGACGAGGGAAGAGGGAAAGGGGTGGGGTGTCCGGGTAGGTAGGGTTGACGGGGAGGGGGGGATGGAGGAGCGGTGTCCGAGTAATAATAATAATAATAATAATAATTAACGGTTTATTGAAAGAGCTTGGCAGCCAGAAGGCTGAAAATATACAGTTACATATTTGGGGAATGGGTTTCGAATTACAAATAATATACAAGTAACATAAGTGACACAAATAAGATATATTATAACTAGATGGGAAAAAGCTCAAACTACAGGGCATTTCAACATAGTGACAGTGCAAGAAGTAGTATTTACTGGGAGTGAATACACTGGTTTATTACAAGTTATTGATAATTTTTACAATGGTTGGGACTGGGCTGTTCTTATAGCGATCAGTTCGTGCACGTATGGGCTGGATGCGGTTGTGGTGTCGAACAGCAATTCTCGGGCTAGGGATCTCAGGTGGTAGTAGGAGCCGGTGTCGAGGATGGTGTAGAAGCTTCTTACCAAATTTGCAGATGAGGTCGTGGTGATGGTCAGTGAGAGTCGAAAGGGTCAGTGTGTTGAGCGCTTCTTGATATGTGGAGTAGGAAGGGGAGAGAATAATCTTGCATGCCCTCTTTTGCACTTTTTCTAGGTGTTTACGTTGTGTGGCATTTAGGGAGGAAGACCAGGTAGGGGAGGCATAGGTGAGCTTGGGAAGTATGAATGTTGTGTAAACACTGAGGAGCTCGGGTGCAGGAACTCCGAGGGACTTGAGTCGGCAGAGGAGGTGGAGACGGAAACTGGAGGATTTGACAACTTCACTGACGTGTGGTTTCCAATTTAGTTTGTTGTCTATGGTGACGCCGAGGAGCTTCGTGGAATCTACAACCTGGAGTGTGTTCGGACCTAAAGTAATGGAAGGAGGTGGGACAATGTCGGAGGAGAGGTTGATGTGCACAACCATGGTCTTGGTATGGTTGATGGTGACATGGTTGTTGGTGGCCCAGTTTTGGAGACTTCAATAAATCCTGAAGGGCGATATAGTCGGGAGCAGAATTGTTGACGCTGATCCCAATGGTGGAGTCGTTGACATATTTCCAGCGAGCAGGGGTTTCTCTTAGGGCATCATTGATGAGCATAAGGAAGCAGAGTGGTCCCATCTTGGTGCCTTGGGAGACGCCACAGGTGAGTGACTGAAAGGTGGAGACAGCCCCTCGGAAGCGTACAGCTTGGCGTCGGTCACTGAGGAAGTCTGTAAGCCATGGTATAAGACTTCTCCGAAGCCCGAGGTCAATAGCTTTGTTGATGATTATATTGTGGTCGACTAGGTCGAATGCTTTCGTGAAATCAATGAAGGCGACAGCTACAGACGTTTTTCGTTTCTCGAAATGGCGGTATATGTAATCGAGAAAGCTGACAAGACAGTGAGTGGTGGAGGAAGTTTTCATATTGCCAAATTGCTGAGGGTCTACGACTCCTGCAATATCAGCATAAGCCCAGTCGAATACAAAACTTTCACAGATTAGGCTGGGTATTGGGGTGATTGCAATAGGTCGTAGCTGATTTAAGGATTGTGGGCTGGTTGACTTGGGCACTGGTGATACATAAGAGGTCTTCCATTCAGCTGGGCATCTGGCTTGACTGAGAGAAGCATTGATGATGGAGCATTGGGGTTTAGCAAGCTCCGGGGAGAACTCCTTGAAGAGTTTCATTGGTAAGTCAATGGGGGTGGTAGAGCGTTTTAATTTTAGTTTGTCCAGGCGTTTTGCTATTTCAAATTCTTCTACTAAGTCAGTGGGAAGGGGGGCTGGTAGGTAAGCAGGGAGAGTGGTTGTGTCAAGCCGGGGGAGCGTCTGGCATATAGTAGCGAAATGGTTATTTGTTTGCTCAGCTGCGTCAACATTAGTGAGATGGCTGAGGAAGGGGAGGGGGTGTGTCTTATTGTTTAGTCCACAGAGTTCTTTAAGCTTACCATACCATTGACTGATGTTGGTCTGCTTCAGGTATTGTAATTTGGTTGGGTAGTGGGACTTCTTTGCAGTGTGTCGGGGTGTGTGTGTGTGTGTTGTTAAATAGAGATAATTGTCCAATTAAGCCATAAAACGTAACTGACGTTTTTTGCTAACTATTTTTTAATTGGTATGGCTTGATGGAAATGCGTTCATATATGGTAAAATTGTTCGTGTTTATTGATGATGTCGCATACTACCATAACCTAACCAAACTGTGCCTAAATTATGTTTGGGTTGGTAGGGTTAGGTTAGTAATGATACTGTTTATTTCTAGTTTGTATGATCGTCTGGTGTTTTTTTTTTTTTCAGAATACATGATATAATGATTTTTTTCGGAAATGGTATAAGAAATACACACACACACGAGGTAGAGAATCAAACTGAATATTGATACGTTGTGTTTATTTCCGTAAATAATCAACCTTCACGATTATTGTTAAACTTAACTTAGCAAACAATACTGAAATTTTGAGTTAGAGAAACAGTATAACGTATTGGCAACACTTCAGGTATTAATTAGTGTATCTACTCTTATTAACGAAGTTGTTCTTAATTTACATAAGAACATAAGAAAATAAGGAGTCTGCAATAGGCCGGTTGGCCTATTTAAATAAAAATCCCAAGGATGGTGCTAAACCGTGAACGTTCCCTACAGCTAGTCTGGAACACGCGCAGCATTCAGAAATAGTCACTCGCTCGCTGGTATGAATGGACGGCATTCTGATCACCAGCCCAGCTCCTCCCCTTTGCACTCCTACAATATTCTCATCCCGCTGCTTTGCTCAGGGGCTTATATCCAATCCAAAAAGTGTTTATTATTAGTCTACTTCCTTCGTGATACCACACGATTTGTTACTGGTTCTTCATGGGCAAGTGAGCCCAAGGAACAATCACTTGGACACTGGTACACCATATTTAACCTGGCGCTTGTCCAGACTGGCAGAGATTCTTACTAAGTCTCGTTAGAATAATAAGGATTTAAACACTATTACAAGTTGATCTCTCTTATTTTGTTGTCTTAACACAATAGATTATTTCCACGGAGGATTTTTATGAACTTTATTATATGATACTCGAATTAGAGCACCTCCAGACTTAACAAGTACAGTAATGGTAACTGGTATCTGAGGTGGCATGATCCTGCCCACGGATACTCTACTTGCATGGCGAGTCTCTGGCACCATTGTTACCATGCACACGACTGGGTCACCACTTTTTCTTTTATGGATCAGTCATCAGTAAGCCCTGTCCTTGTTATAAAGTGACCGACATTTGAAACACTTATTTCCTGTCTCCAGTGTTCAGTAATTTGACCGACAAATTACGGTCTTTATAATTTGTCCAAAGTTTTAGCAGTAAAAGCTGGCACTGTCCTCTCCGACCTCCTGCCTGAACCAATCAAAGCAAAACAAGTCGATTTAAAGATAATTGGAGGATGCCTACTAAAACCTTTGTTGAAACCTTGATCCAGAGAATTCGCCTGTCACATATCTCGTTCTCAAACTTCTTCCAATTCTATTTTATGCTGACAAATATCACCCTGTAACCCATTCTACTATCTCAGCTTCATTCAATATTCCAGAATCTGATTCTTATTATTCTTTTTAAGAACTATTCATCTCTGTATTAATCCGGTAGAGTATGAATGTAACTCCTCAGTTTTTAGGTTTATCTTCTTGAATGGTGACAAAATTTCCTAAACTTGTAATCATTTGGACTGAATTATTTAATCATAGCAACATTTTCAGATTATTATTATTGTTGTATTAACAGAGGGGTACAGAAAATGCTATTATATTTTTTTTTACTGTTGCAAGGAAACATTGTTAGAAGAATTAATAGGAAAGGGAAATATTTATGTATTGCAACAGAAAGGAAAGTTCTGCTTGTTGATTCTCTTTCCTTATGTCTGTTTTGAAGCATACAGTCATTAGTGACACGCACGACCATTGTACTGTACGTGCAAACCTTGCTTTACAGTACAGTATTAACTTTTACCACAGCAATTAAGATATATATATATATATATATATATATATATATATATATATATATATATATATATATATATATATATATATATATATATATATATATATATATATATATATGTGTGTGTGTGTGTGTGTGTGATACAGTATATGATTTTTGACAATACCTGAATTGATTCTTGACTAGGTCTTAGAATATATTTAGCAGGTCTGCTCATAATTTTGATACTTGAGTAGATTCATTTGTCAGCTTCAGATGATTTTGGTAGTGTTGTACGCAATGTACCTAATTTTGAAAATGGTTTTGAAAGTTATTTATGCAATTTGGAAAATTTGGGTAATTTTGGAAATGATTAATTTTGACGATTCAGAGGATCTTGGCATTTACTGTACGTGCTTGGATCATAATGAGTAAATGATAATGCCTTGGTTGATGAATTTGACTTTCTGAGACGAATTATTTTAGCAGCTCTTCAGATTATTAGCGTCGCTTTTAGACATCCTATTGTGGCAATGTGCACCTGACTTATTTTGATAAAGGTATAGTTAGTTACTGAATGTAAATATATTAATTTTTTATTGAGTTATAGACTGTATAATGTATATAACTTTGTATATGACATGATGGCTGTTTTATTATAATTTTGTTTTATCTCAGTTTGCAGATTGTTTAATGATTATAATACAAATTCGTAACTGCTTTTGGTAAGAGTTAAAATATATAGCATATACATTATACACACATCTCTTACCATAAAACGCACACACACACACAACCCTGTTAGAAAAAATCTACCATGAACGCATCCCATTGTTGTGTCAAGGACTTCCTCTGTTATGTACAATACGTCACCTGTTGGTCTCTGTCTCCTTGTTAAATAATCTGAAACGTTAATAGAACAAACACACAAATACTTTTAGTTAACCGAAATATATCTTGTTATATAAGGTGTTTAGATCAATATTTTGTAATTACATTTTTAACTTGTGTAGGAAGAATAGAGGTTTTTTTAATACCCTCGAATCTCCACCCCATTTTATTTTCACCACACTAACGCTAACCTAACCGAACCTAACCTCCCAAGTAGTGTTAAGGTGGTTATAATCTTCAGGTGAAATAAGCTGAGGTGGAGATTCTTCAGGTGATACCCTTTTTTCATCCGTCTGTCCGTCTACAGTATCTTGAAAAAGGTTAACACAACTATTCCCACAGTTTCCATCGAATTGACTTTAATCTTGGACGTCACTGAAACCACCACACACAGAAGTGCATTTTGTCTGGGTGTTACGATTCGATAAACTTTTAAGATTATCAATGAAGTTCAAAGTTCAAAATTTTGTCTTGAGCATCGGATACGTCAACTTTTAGCAAGACTGTACAAGGATGTGCCATCACTACATAAAGAGCTGTTCCTTTTCTCCTTATGTCTGCCTTGTTCTCATTACCTCCTTTAACTCCTCTTCACCCTCCTTTCCCTTTCCCTCTGCCCACCATAAATCACCGTCTTGTCTAACACCACTTTTACCTTCTGCTCCTTGTTCCTTTACGCCTTCCTCTTCTTCCTGTTCTCCCTTAATCTCCTTCATACCCAACCTCTCCTTCTCTCCTCCTTTAAATCCATCCGATCTCACACTTCCATTCTCCTTCCCTCTCCTTTTTTCCTCCCACTCCTCCTTAAATCCGTTCGATTCCACACTTCCTTCATCCTTTCCTCCCACTCTCCCTTAAATTTCGTAACATATATCTTACGCCCTCCTTCTCCCTAAAATTCTTATCCATCCTCTCAGTTTTCCTCCCACCGCCTTACATCACTTTGTACCCAACCAACCTCTCCCTCCCTCCACCTGTGGTATGGTCAACACACCTAGTTGGCACCATGCCAGGTCCCATTATCCCTAACTAGTATACTGAGCGTATTCTCAGACGTTCGTACAATAATTTTTCTCTTCGTCTGGTGTGACTATTATCTGTTAATTCATCTGTTTTATCCATTCGCCAGGCTTGCAGGGTCAGTTCTGGTGCCCTTATTATAGAATGGATATCAATTCACTGGAGTCGGTGCAGCGAAGAATGACGAAAATGATTCCGGGACTTAGAAACCTTCCATATCAAGATAGGTTAAAGAAACTTAACTTGCATTCCCTAGAAAGACGAAGAGTGCGGGGAGATATGATAGAAGTATTTAAGTGGGTGAAAGGAATCAATAAAGGGGATATAGATAAAGTTCTTATAATATCCGAGCAGGATAGGACTCGTAGCAACGGATTTAAGTTGGGTAAGTTTAGGTTTAGGAGGGAGATAGGAAGAAACTGGTTCACACATAGGGTGGTGGACGAGTGGAACAAGCTTAGCAACTTTGTAGTAAGTGCTGGAACGCTGGAAAGTTTTAAAAGGAGGCTGGATAGATTCATGGATGATAGAGAGTGGTAGTAACTCTCGACAGGAGCTGGCATGCACAGGCCAACCGGCCTATTGCAGACTCCTTATTTTCTTCTGTTCTTATGTTCTATAGCAGCAGACTTGTAACGCGTATAGATTCTAAAAACACTTTCATCGCTGTCAGCAGAAGCGATACATGTTTACAGTATATGTAAAATTATCGCGAAATATCATGTCGTTTCCCACTCTATTGATTGATCCAGTGTATTTCCAGCTCCTCTCTTACCAACTTCCTAGTGGCGATATGACCGAGCATATTTTGCTGAAATTCAGGTACAGTGTGTAAATTTCGTATGAAAACGCTTTCTACAGTTGTCCATTCACACTTCCTTAATACAGTTTCTCCCCTCCCTCCTTTGGGGTTTTTAGACCACAAAATCTACTCAGTTGAAGAGAATTTTAGAAAAAAAATGCATCACTTCAATTCAGAATTATCCTATTTCTATCATAAATTGTTGTATTTAATTACGCTGGAGGCGTTAGGTGTACAAGTATTTGTTTCTTTGGTTTGTATGGGAAGCGCGAAAAAAAGGGTGTTTCCCATAATGCGCTTCCTTATTTCCCATCAGCACTCGGAAGTTTTTAGTAAGCAAACTCCGTCATCGTGGCACACCTGTTGGGTTAGAGTGTTATTTTTTATTTTTTATTTTTTTTTATTTCCGGTGCCCTTTTCTATCAGTAAGAACTGTAAACAACTGGCACACTCGTAGTATGTGGTCGTAGTGGTCGCTATTTTGGTTGTACAGCTGGCTGGCTCCCGGCACGCTCGTCAGACATCTCAGACCTCACGTGCCAGTGGCCCGTGCACTCACCAACACCACAGCTCTCAAGGTAGTCACCCTTCCCAAGTTTTGTCCGTAGACTTTGTTCCATTAGTGAAATTTTACTTTCTTACGCATTTCAGAGACTTATTGTTGGATGTTGTTGTTTGGTATCCTAAATAAAATGATACATCCTAACCTAACCTAACCTAACCTAACCTAACCTAACCTACTATTACATGGTGTGATTTAGGAAATAGTAACGCTTATGACGTATCTTCAAGTTTAACATGTAAAGGTTTATTAATAAGTTTTTCGTTGGTTGAATAGGTCTCCTGTCTCAAGTCATTAGCGCAAAAGAAAGATTAGCCTCCAGTTTGTTTTACATGATTAAAACATCCTAACGCTACTTGGGGGTTGGGTTATATTAAGCTAGAATGGCTTATGTTAGGTAAGCGGTAGTGTGATTAATCTTAGGGTGAAATAAGCTGGTGCTAATCTGCAGGTGATTTAAACGTTTTGTCTCTAAACCTAATCATTATCCAGCTATGCTACCTGACCTTTCTCTTCTCTAAATCTAGTAAACAAAATAATGACAGCATCTTTTTATCTACCGATGCTGTTAAATCTAGTTGATATATATAATGTGACACTAAGCCTTCACATTATTTTTGGATTACTTCAAGATCTTCCCCTATCTTATTCCACCTGAAGATTAACCACCCTAATGTTAAACTTACCTAACCTACCCCCCCCCCCTTTCCCACCAGGTAGCGTTAGGGCGTTTAATCTTCAAGTGAATGACCCTGGGGGATTAATCTTCAAGTGATCCTTATTGTTAATACCGTAAAATCATCACCAGTTTCTTTTAGAGGTTTCATTATATCTTTTCTTTCAGTGCCTATAGTCGAGAATTCCCCTGCTGGCGTGAGTGAGTGTCGACTTGCTGCAAGTATGAAGACTACCAACACCTTCAGCATAACAGGTAAGACCATATTCAAGGATATTGTACTGAATAACTGCAGAATATACCACCGAATAGTTTGTGGTAATTTCCTGTGTAGTGTGATTTAAAGTTTAGACGCCTAGATGCTATACTTACTACCTTGATGACTTAAAACCTTTGTCTGATAATGGAAAAATAAAAAAGTAAGGTTGGATGAAATAAGAACCTGTATTTAAATATGAAAAAAACCTGTATTCACCTTAAGATTAGCCCTCAGCTTATTTCACCTTTAGATTAACCACCCTAGTGCTAACCTAACCTAACCTCCTCAGATAGCATTAAGGTATTTAATCATCAGGTGAAATAAACTGGGGGCTGATCTAAAAATAAATTGATAATCACTGGGAGGAAGAAAAATGTTGAACTCTTGAGTATGAACCACATGTCGTAGCAAAGCTCAATACCTCTTCAACACTCCATATGAACAGTGATATATATATATAGTTTGGTAACCATTAGGCTGTCAATACAATAAGGTCTGAAGAGGTACTGTACCATAAATTAGATGTTGAAGGTAGGAAAATTATCAGATTGGTTTAACAATGGCAGTGTGCGTTCTGTAATCTGGTAAAGTGAAATATACAAAAATATTTTATTTCAATTTATTAGGTGATGTGTTAATAAATGTAATTCTTACAGTAACCATGAAGGGGATATTGCAGTACGTTTAACTTTAATAAGAGAATCGTTTAAAAGTCCAATGTCCTTGTCGCCATGCAATCTGGAAGGAAATTCGACATTGAAAAAAATGTCTTGCGGTATTTGGCATCCGTACCACAGGCAGGCGAGCATTCAACCCGTTTGTAACAACATTAAACTTCTTCGATACTTAGAACTTATAAGTGCCCAAATGTAAAGCAGCTTTTTTTTAAAGCATTCAGCCCCAAACGTAAGCATGTCGGCACAGCATCATACTTACTAATAGGCGACATTTAACAATGAATTCGAGTTATGGAGGTTTGTGGGAGCAACTCGCAGCGGTGTTGTCATTGGTGTTCAGACTGGCGAGCGCAAAACCCCGTTTACTCGAACACGGTTGATTTGACCTTCACTCAGCACCGCTTTCTATATTTTCCACTTGTTTGGTTGTCATTTATCCCCCATCCCCTCCCCCTTCCCCATGCCCACCACCAGCTTTCCCTAGTGAGGTCATAGAGGAGCATTGACAGCAAATGTGGTTAGATTCATTATGGGAGTCATGCTGTCAAGAGCTAACCTACAACTCAGGATTTTTTCTCAGATCTTAAGTACACTAGTCACTTGTTGCTCAATATTAGTTGCTTCAACACCACCAAGTCGTGAATTCGTACTAGACATTAAGTTAGGTTTTTATGCAACTGTAGGGCTTTTGAGGTGTGTTGTAATATTTCAGATTTTCAGGGTTAAAGTACAATACATGGCATTGAAACCTAAATTACCTACGTGGAGGAATTTTTCGTTAGTCTGGGGAAGGTGTGTAGCAAAAAATCTCATGGCGACATATGACCTAAGCTGTTGCGTCGCCAGTGATGTAATTACCACAATCAATCAATCAGTCTCATAGTTGAAATTGGTGGATATGTTCAAAAATTTCATTGATTAACGTTATTGTTATCCAAAATACATTACAATATGTATATAAAACGATCAATGGCTTCGTTAACCCTACCTGGGGATTAAGTTACGTTAGGGTGTTTTTTTATAATCTTCAGGGGATCCGACAGTGAGGGACCACAAGTACTCAGTAATTAAAGTGAATAAATGTAAAATATGGAAACAATTACTGCATACAATTTATACACTTAAGGAACTAAAATCCGATAATGGAAATAAATTGATATGAACGATTCTAAAAATGCAAAAATAAATTAAGTGGGGCTCTTTATTTTAAGCCAGTGTTACAACTAGAGTTACACTATTGTCTAATGTGTCCGTTCTGCTTGTTGACCTCTTGAACACTAAACTTGCTGAACGCTGGTAATTTACTTTTCCTTTAAAAGAACTTAACACTTCAGAAATAAAACACCACCAGTTAATAATAAATACACGAATGAGTAGTGATACACAATAAATGAATAATGATCAATAATAAACGATTGATGATAAATAATAAATGAATAGTAATAAATAAATAACAAAGGGTAATAATAATAAATGATAAACGAAGGGAGAAAATAGTACTTGAACATTGATTGATAAACGAATGCTAATAAATAATGAATAGATAATAACTATAAACTAGTGAATAATAATAATAAATAAATAACAAATACACAAATGAATATACAGACCCATTGTCGTTCTTATGTACAGGAAATTGAGGACCACGGCCGACTCGATGAACTAAAAGACAAACCACTTTTTTTTTTACGCCCTGTACTGTGGTGATGTACTTGAGGGACTGGACATGAGTGTGTGTGTATCCTCAGGGGGGTAGATTAACTGATAAAGTGACCTATATTCAAGCTGGGTTTGTTTAGTAAATCATTCATATTTACCTATAAAGACTGTGAATATAACTCGCCAATTAAAGGGTCACTGAATAAATATTGTAGAGGTTGCTAAAAAAAACAGCTAGGTTGAGTGGCAGGGGTTGAGGGGTGATGGAGGTTGTTTGGGGGTGGTAGAGAGGGTTTTTGAGGTGGTGTTGGTGGAGAGGGATCGTTGGGGTGGTGACGGAGAGAGATTGTTGGGGGTGATGGTGAGGGTTATTGGGGTGGTGGTGGTAGGGTGAGGGTGGTTGTGTTAGTGGAGGGGTTGGTGGTGGTTGTACAGCCATTGTCCCATTGTTCATGTCTTCTTTCACTCTCGTTTTTACTCTGCCCGCTTTTTATTGTTGTTGGCAAGCATGTTTTATTTTATTCCTTTTTTTTTGTTGTGTATTATTGTTTTTCTTGTTAAACAGTGTTGGCTTAGTTTTTTATTTATCGAGGAGAAAATAAGTCATGAATATATATGCTTTATACAGATTTGGGTCCCTATAGAGTATAAAGGTGATCTGTACTGAAGTGATGAACATACTGTGAGCCTGTGGTAGTAGCGTGAAAGGCGTTTTAAAAATGTACATGTGAATAAATACTTATGAGTATTCAAAAGAAATATTTGTATAGTGTGAGGACTTTAGTATTTAGATAATGATGATGTTTTATATAAAAGTCTTAAGGTCAGGCTTCTCAAAGATCCTGTAAAGTATATGTAATTTTTTGTTGTAGCTTAAGAGAGTCAGATTCTTGGGTTATTGCCTCTTTATTTACGAAGAAAATTCAAATTACGAACCTTAGGTAATCGGGATTGAACTTTGTGTGCGTGCGTGTGTGTGTGTGTTTATGCATATAATACATATAGTGTACAGTATTAGGGTTAAACCTCCCTCCTAACCTCACAAGTCAAGGTCAGTTGTACAAGTGAAATAGTACATCTTATAAACAAAAAGTTTAATTGTGTTATAACGTGGTGTACGAGTTGGGTATTGGCCAAGAATGAACCGTTTTGATTTTGAAGGTCAGTGGTAGAGGCCCCAGCTGAGGGGTAATAACCTGGTGTGAGTAAGAACAGTATCTCAAAAAAAGGGGTGGCATTGGGGACTGAGTTTAGCCCAAGAGAGATTTAATTTTGTAGCTTAGAAGTCAAAGGTGAAGGTAACAGTTCAAGATCAATTGCTCGATAAAGTATACGAATCCTCCAAATTTTTATGAAACGAATTTTGATGGTTGAATGTTAATGAAAACATGTACATGAAAAAAATAACTAAGGATCACCTGAAGATTCACCTCTTTCCCAGCTTATTTCACCTGAAGATTAACCACCCTAACACTACTTGGGTTAAGTTAGGGTAATAAGGTTAGGTTAGGGTGGTTAATCCTCAGGTGAAATAAGCTGGGAAAAGGAGGGGGGGGGGATCTTCTGGTGGTGTTAAAATAGAAACTGTGCATTAAGGTTCACGGTCGTTGCTCAAGGTGGTCCGATCTTTGGCTTAATGACCATAAACGGGCTGACCGATTTCAGTGTAACAGTAACTTGGTTGATACTTCTGATGATACTTTCTTTACCCAAGGTAGAGTTCTCTTTAAGGATTCATGTCATTTGTCTAGATTAATACTCAAGGTATACCAAGATTATAACTCGGAAATGGTTAGAACAATATCGGATCACCTGAAGATTCTACCCCTCCCCCCTCCCGTTCCCTTCCCTCCAGCTTATTTCACCTGAAGATTAACCATCCTGAAGATTCACCCCCTCCCCACCAGCTTATAAGAACATAAGAATGGAGGAAACTGCAGCGGGCCTATTGGCCCATACTGGACAGTCCCGTTTACAACCCAACCCCTATTGCTCATATAAGCATCCAACCTATGTTTGAAGCTATTCAGCGTATTCGAGTTAATGATGATATTTGGTAACTTGTTCCATTCATCCACTACTCTGTTTCCAAACCAGTGTTTACCTATTTCACGCTTAAATCTAAATTTGTCTAATTTAAAACCATTGTTACGAGTTCACTCCTGGTTGGATAGTTTGAGTACCTTTGTAATGTCCCCTTTGTTTAGCCCTGCCTTCCACTTATACACCTCTATCAGGTCGCCCCTCGCTCTACGTCTCTCGAGGGAGTGCAAATTAAGATGCTTTAACCTGTCTCTGTATTCAAGGTTCCTAATGCCCGGGATTAGTCTTGTCATTCTCCTCTGAATTCTTTCCAATGATTCTATATCCATCCTGTAATACGGTGACCAGAACTGAACTGCGTAATCCAGGTGTGGTCTCACAAGCCCAAGATACAGTTTTAGGATGACCTCGCTAGTCTTGTAACTAACACTCCTTTGTATGAACCCAAGTACTTTATTAGCCTTGTGAGCAAAAACACATTGTTTACTTGGCTTGAGGTTCCTACTTATCATTACTCCTAAATCTCTCTCGCAGTCGGATTTCTCTATGGCATCGTTGTTCATCTGGTATCTGGTTTCCCTGTTTACATCTAGCCTGGAGATTAACCAGTCTAACCT